GTACTCCGCTTGCACCCAACTGCAAGGGGATCCGGCTACCTCCTTGTGCTCCCCCATTCGGGGTCCTTTGATGATCCGTTATTCTGTAAGGCCCGGGAGCGACCCCCGACGGGGATCCCCCTGGACAGGCTGACGGGACGCAGGAATGAGGCAAGGTACGGGTAGACATCTAAATGTAATAACGGATGTAGAGCTATTACAGAGGTACTAGTTCTACATCAACATAACAATACCGAAAAGTACCCCCGGCGGGAGTCGCATACGGGAGTCGCGTACGGCGCGTCCGACGCGTCACGTGATCGCTATAACACTACGACCTCAAATGTGCCCAGGCTCTGGGTTACATCCGGCCTTCGCTTGGGGTCAACAAGCGATCGATCCAGGGGATTGATCACCCGGCCAAGGCCATGTACAAGATCAAGGAGATCCACTCCAAGACTACCTCGTTCGATGTCCAGATCCTGATCGACGAGTTCGCCAACCTCCGGCCCATTGGAGACGACTTTGAGGGGTACATGGCGAGGTTGGATACGGTGGTTGAGGGTCTGGAGGCCAACGGGCTACAAAGGGAGGATGTGGAGATCATGGCCCAATGGTCTAAGTGTCTCCGATCCTACCCGGAGGGACACCCTTACTTCAAGGCTGGAGAGTTCCTTCAGTCGAACATCACCATGGGGGTCGATGTCAAGAAGGAGTCGGTTGAGAGGATGATTCTGGCCGCCTACCGTGACATTGCCAACAAGGAGATTGCCGAGAAGGATGAGGAGAAGGCCTTCCAGGCAATGGCAGCCAAGTTTGGTTATGCCAAGATTGGGACCACCGGAGTTGGATTCGGGACCGGTGGTGTTGGGAGGCGGACCTTTGGGACCGGGACCGGGACCGGGACCGACACCAGGATCTGCAGGTGTTGCGGGCAGAGGGGGCATATCGCCAGGGAGTGTCCTCAAGCCGAACCCAATGGGTGCCACTCCTGTGGCAAGGCGGGACATCGGGCTCCCACCTGCCCTCACCCGGACATGGTTGCCTACAGGCAGAGGCACGGAGGAGGAGGATCGGGACCGGGATTTAGAGGTGGTGAAAGGGCCGCTGCCGCTGTATCTTCTTTCGATGCTGCTATGCAATCCATGACCCTCTATCGACGTCAGCTCGATCAAGCCTTGATCATCACTGAGAAGGCTCACTCACTTGCGACTAGGAAGATGACAACCCTGATCGATTCAGGTTGTTCAAGACACATGTTCGGGATGAAGAGGTTCTTTGACCTATCCCCGAACTATCAGAGAATGACTGCACCTGTCATGGTTGGAAACGGACAGGTGATCTATGCTGAGGGGATGGGCGACATCTTCTTGACCATCGAGGTTGGAGGAAAGAAGGCAGAGCTACATCTTGCAAACTGCCTGTATGTTCCCAAACTCAGTTCGAACCTAATCTCGATCTCACAGCTGGACAAAGCCGGATCGGACATCATGTTCACGGAAGGCAAGGCAATCTTGAGGAAGAACAACAAGATGACCTTGATCGGCAAGATGTTGGATACCAATCTGTACGAGGTCAATGCAAAGTCTCCGGCATTACCTAAGATGGATTCAGCCAACACGGCATCGATCTCAGGACTGGGGAATATCTGGCATCAACGGCTGGGACATCTGGGTGGGAACTCGATACGGAATCTTAAGGATTCGGTGGATGGGTTTGACCAGACGTCTGTCCCACACCAGTGTGAGAGCTGCATCCTGGGAAAGATGACAAGAGCTCGATTCCCAGACAGCTCATCACGGTCAACAGAACCACTCCAGCTGATCACCTTCGATCTTGCTGGGCCTTTCGATGAGGCTATCGGAGGAGCCAAGTACTTCATGATCATGGTCGATGATTACTCCAAGTACTACCACGTCGAACTCCTCAGGACCAAATCAGAGGCAACTCGATGGTTGAAACAGGTTCTGACTCAATGGGAAAATCAGTTGAGTCGATCAGTCAAGGTTCTCCGGTCCGATGGTGGGGGAGAATTTGACAACAGAGCGATCAGCCAGTTCTGTGAAGAGAAGGGGATCCGAGCTCAGATGACTACAGCTCGAACTCCAGAACAGAATGGGGCAGCAGAGAGAGCTGTCCGGACCATCAAAGAGGGTACTCGGACTCTCTTGATCGATTCCGGTCTCAGTAACAAGTACTGGGGTGCCGCTGCAAAGAACTTTGCATACGTCAGGAACCGGACCCGGACCGCAAAGACAGGAGACAAGACACCGATAGAACTCTTCACTGGAAAGAGACCGTCGGTCAGTCATCTGAGGGTGTTTGGATGTGTCGCTTACATGCACATACCAAAAGAAGACCGGGTTGGTCAGATCTGGAAACCCAAGGCAAAGCGGTGCATCTTCCTTGGATACGGAGAGGAAGAGTCGAAGGCCAAGAAAGCTTGGACACTCTTTGATCCCTATGCTCTCAAGAAACATGTGACGGTACATGTCAAATTCTGTGAAGACCAGAGATGGGCCGATCAAAAGACCAACATCGCAAAAGGAGACATCTTCTTCCAGGACATCTCACCTGCAATCGGGGAAGCCGAACTGACTGTCGGGGAAGAAGTCCAACCGGTTGATCCAGAGATCGGGGAAGCTGGACCAAGGATCGATGAAGCTGAACCAAGGATCAATGAAGCTGAACCGGAGATCCTGGACCCTCGACCGGAGATTGGAGAAGCTCAACCAGAGATTGGGGAAGCTGAGCGAGAGATGGGGGAAGTTGAGCGAGAGATCGGGGAAGCCGAACCTCAAATAGGGGAAGCCCCAGTTCAGCCAGCAGGACCGATATCACTGCCGCCAAGTAGGATTCCGGTCCCGGTGGATCAACGAAGCACTCGGAAGAAAGGGACTGGTATCTGGAAGAACTATGAGTATGTTCCAGTACCAGCTCAAGGATCGGGGATTCCACAGGTCTTACCGGATGGTGCAAGACGATCCCGACAAGCTCCAAAGAGATTCCAGGATCATGCGGCCATTGCACACGGACCCAAGCTTGAAGACATAATGGATCAAGCTTTCTTGACATCGGCTGAGATGGATCCTGCCGATCCCATCTATCTGGATGCGAAGCTGGATGAGATGGCATCGATGGCCAAGAACCAGGTCTGGACCCTGGTCCCAAGGCAGACCGGACAACCAAAGCCGATCTCAGTCCGATGGGTCTGTACCATGAAAGACCTACCCGATGGTACTCAAAAGCCAAAGGCAAGACTGGTTGCTCGGGGCTACACCCAGAAAGCTGGGATTGACTATCAAGAGATCTTTGCCCCGGTTGTCAAACTGGAATCCATTCGGTACATCATCGCTCGAGCGTGCCAGAGACAGATGGTTCTGTCACAGGGTGACGTCAAGACCGCCTTCCTCTCCAGCAGCATGGAAGGAGAGACGGTCTACATTGAACAGCCTGAGGGATTCAGGGAACCCGGGAAGGAAGACCATATCTGCCTATTGAACAGAGCGATCTATGGTCTTCATCAATCTCCTCGTCTGTTTTACCGGCACATCAGAAAGATCCTGGGTGGATTTGGGTTCTCATCGATCTCAGCAGATCAGTCGGTGTTTGTCAAGGACACTCCGGAGGGAAAGGTGCTACTTGGTCTATATGTGGATGATGCACTGGTAGCCGGAGACACCGACAGCTTGGTCCAGGAAACCAAAGCCTTGCTCAACACCAGGTTTGAGATGAAGTGGACGGATGATCCCAAGGTGTTACTGGGGATCGAGATCGAACAGGACCGGGAGAAGGGAACCATCACCCTATCTCAAAAGAAGTTTGCTCGGGAGATCCTGAAACAGTACAATATGATTGACTGTCATCCCGTCAAGACTCCAGTGGAAGAGGTCATCAGCGCATTCCCACCTGAAGACCGACCACCACCTGATACCAGGTTTCCTTTCCGGGAGTTCATTGGAAAGGCGAATTATCTAGCTCGGGGGACACGACCGGATCTCTCCTTTGCAATCTCACACCTTGCATCATTCTGTTCGACCTACCAGGAGACACACTGGCAAGCGTGTGAGCGGGTAATGAAGTACCTTCAGGGCACCATCGATGCCAGTCTTGTCTATCACCGAGACGGAAATCAGAAAATTGCTGGTTACTCGGATGCCGAGTATGCCGGAGACAAGGGAGATAGGAAATCTGTCGGGGCATATGTGTTCACATTGGCCAATGGACCGGTATCATGGCAGAGCAAGAAACAGACCACAGTAGCCTGGTCTAGCACCGAGGCCGAATACATCGCTCTTGGATCAGCTGGGAAAGAAGCGGTCTGGCTCTCGATCATGGATCAGGAACTAGGATTTCATGATGGTAAACCGGTCACCATCTTTGAGGACAACCAGCCAGCTATCGCATTGGCTAAGAATCCCACCAACCATGCTCGGACAAAACATATTGATGTTTTGCACCACGCTCTTAGGGGACTGATCGAGGACAAGAAGATCGAGGTCGAATACCTCAACACTAAACAGATGATTGCGGATCTCCTCACCAAGCCAATCACTGGAAAGCAGCTCCAAGTACTTTGCGCTGACATGAATCTGAAGATCAACAGGGCACCTACACCAATGTCGTCCACCTCTGAATAGAGAAGTCCGAGGGGAAGTGTAGAAAGTAGGTGCGCGCGCTTGCGTAATCAAGGATTACCGGGATTATTCCCCCAGGATTACTGGGATTATTTCCCCAGGATTACTGGGGACTGGGGTGATGCTTAGTCAGCATCACCCAAGCTGGGACCTCACCCCGGTGATGAAAATCTCGGACAACTAGATCATCAATATACACCACTTGACTGTTAGATCTCAAGCAATATCTTGAGTTCTAACAGGTCAGTACCTTTGTATTGACTGATAGCACATGCCATTAATAAAGCAATATCTTGAGTTCTAACACTGTCGCCCTCAAGGTCATGAACGAAAACGACCCTGAAAACTGGACCACTCCTGTTTACACTCAGGTGAGTGATCGAAATGTTCGTCTGCGCGATGATCAGTGCTGATGGTTTTCATTGCTTCAATAGTGGGGACATATCGGTCTCATGTTCATCATTTACCTCTTCGTTCCCGAGTCGCCTGGTAAGCCTTCGTCAGGGCAGATGTGTTTCATTCGATCTCACAGATCGCCTGTTTGCATTAGCTTGGTGCGCTACCCATGATCATCGCGAGAGGGGAAAGCGATTGTTGCAAAAGATCTACGGTGGCAACGCAGGGTACGATGCGGATCGACAGTACGAGATCTTGTACCAGACGGTACATGTACCAGACGGTACAACACGAAAAACAGCTGGCCATCGAGAACAAGAGACAGAGTTGGTGGAACATCTTCCGAGGCGTGGATGGGGTACGTCGTAGCCGTGCTGTGGATCATTGATTCAACTCGCTGATATTGGTTAATGATTTTGTAGTTGCGAACCATCATCAGCATGTTCGCTTTGCTGTCTCAACAATTCCTTGGACTATCTCTGGTGAGTCGCGCAGTGACTGCGACGGTTTATGAAGGGTTAGTACTGATACTCGCTTCCACATTCTCAGTTCTACACATACAGTTCCTATTTCTTCAGGTATTTGACGTCTCCATTGTTATTTTCACGCCCCCGAATCGAACTGATATCTATAACTTTATAGTATCGCGGGACTTGAAGATCCGTTCCAGGCTACCGTCATCACCAACGCTGTCCAACTGGCTATCATCCTCTTGGTCGTCGCTTCGGTCGACAAGTTGGGCCGAAGGAACATCTGTTGCAGTGGTTTGACGATCCTTTGGTTCTCGAACGTCGCGGTCGGTATCCTCGGACTCGTTGAAACTAACAAAGCGACATCAAGTCTTTTGGTCACTTTCTCCTGTATTTGGGGTGCGTGACTTTCATTATCATCTCGTCGCGTTCCGGGCTGATTTGGCAGATGATGTTTTTCAGTCGTCGGCTTGCAAATGTCGGGCTCGACGGGTTGGGGTTATGTTGGAGAGACTTCGGCTCAACGTCTTCGTGCTTATACCGCTGGGTTCTCGGCTGCCATCTCCGTTGTAGCGGGTATCGTTATGAGCGTACTGTGAGAGTCTGGCATCGATATGCAGTGCGAAATCTTCCGGAAAGCTGACTATAACGACAAATCCAGAGTCCCGTACATGCTCAACGAAAACGAGTGGAACTGGAATCTTAAGACCGCTTGGTTCTACGCGGGTGTGGGTCTGCCCTTCGTCATCGCATCCTGGTTCTTGATTCCGGAGACGGCCAGGTATGTGAAATTTGGCGCAGTTGTTCCGCAAACAAAACCTGATTGGCGATAATACTGTTTAGGCGGAGTGCTGCTGAGCTGGACGAGTTGTTCGAAGCCAAGGTCAAACCTTGGAGGTTCCACAAGACCGAAACGTCGACACAGAAAGCCTACAAGGCCCAGCACGCTACGGACGATTCTTGATTGGCCGACGCGAAGCTACCTACCGGTGGTTATTCGTTCGGGCGAGCCTGCAGACCGACACAGCTACCAGCAAGCGCAAGGTAGTCTTTGAGTTGGCATTACCATCACTGCACGAATTTGTAGTTGTACGAATAATAGGGTCCGCTTAACATGCGAACATCAGATATATGGGATTGAGCGAAAACGCGGATGACCCTTCTCTACGATGCAGTCCTTACGGTGGCGAATGCCACGACACCTGCTGCCGCAACAACAACTAACGAGTGTCCGCACCAGCCATTGCTAGGTTGAACAAGTTCAAGAAGTCGTCGTTATTATTGCCCCAATCCATAAACGCCCCGTCATAGCCGAGCAATGTTTCTTCCATTCCGATCGAAGCATCTTGCCTCGAAATGGTATGTCCGGTAGCATAGACGGCGCCATCATAGCTAGCGTCATCCGGTACTGCAGATTCGGAGCGGGAACGTTGGAGTTGATCCTGGAGCAACATGTCCGATAATAGGATCCCCCCGCTGTAGAAGGCATCGCTTTGTGGAAGCAGTCTGCATGCTTTGTCTTAGTTTATGGGACTCAGAATCACCGGAGCAGGTAACCAGACTTACCGGAGTAACCGTAGACCACGAGATACCCGTTCCTCGGCTTTCAAGATTCCCCCTCGATCGGCTTGGTGACACATGTCGATGAAGAGCACAATAGTTGCTGTGAACGTTGCGGCGGCTCTGTAGCCATGACCCAATGCCCCGGGCTCCAATTCCAGGGTCTGCTCGACAGATATGACGATTTCTTCGGCAGCCTCGAGGCAGAAATCCACACTGGCACGCTGTCCACTATCATGGCATCTGCATCACATGAGCCACCCTCCCACCAAACGGAGAGAAATTATGACTGACCGAGTACTATAGGATGAGGAAAAGAAAGGTTTGTGCAGTTCCATGCGTGTGTGTGCATAGATGGTTCGCAGCATCAGGGCTTCTTTCAACCTGTATTCCAACGACATCGTTAGTCCAGATTGAGAACTGCCTGATGATCCCCACCGATATCAAGCAAGAAAAAGAAAGTAGCTTACGTCTGACTATCGTCTGTCAGCGTCGTTGCGCTTGATACCATCAGATCCGTATAGAACTCGGGGAGCGAATGCCTCTCGTGTTGCAAACGTTCATCAGCCCTGTTGTATATTGTTAGCACCGGCATTGAACTATGAGCTACTCTTGACTACGACGACTGACCTCATGACGTCCTTCCAGGTCAAACTGAGCCGTCTTCCATGGAATCGCTCCGTCAAGCTGTACATCGCGCTCGACGATTTGAACCTCGATATCGAGAACGACATGTCCTTTGCGAGCAGCACATTATGATGTTAGGATAAACGGTGGCAAGGACTAACCTCGATTAACACATATCGATTCTCACAGTGCGTCCACAGATTCTCGGTGTATCCACATCGTCGTCCGGTAACAGGTCGCAGTCGTTCATGTCGGCCGGTAGGTGCATCACGGTAGGATTGACCTCGACACCGTGCACGAGACCGTGCTGCATACTCCAGATCGGATCGAGCTCGACCTTTTCCGAAACCGAGATTTTCAATCGATCTGCCATGCTAATGCACCGAACTAAAAAAATCCCGGTCGTCCCACTCACGAGACCCATCCAGATCCGTCGCCCGATCTCGTGATCGATCTTGAGACCCTTCATCGATTGACGCCGGTTTGTGCTTGCGCTGGGTGCGAGGTAGTCCGACATACCTAGGCTGTGCGCCACGCGTTTGGCAGCGCCTAGTAGAATACCATGATATTCGCTTCGCCTGATTACCAGATGATAGGGGCCGCTAATACTGCGGTGAGACATAGCGATTAGCCCGCGAAGTCTCGCCTGTATTCTCGCAACTGGGATTCATATTGCCTCACATGATACTTTGCAAGACGTTGACGTTATGATACTGCATCCAATCCGAAGCTTCCCGCGCATCGTGTCCGACCTGATGCCAGTGCAAAGCATACCGCTCGGCAGTATCTCGATCGTAGCCAAGGAGTGCTTGTAATCGCGGAACGTCCAGCATCCTGATACTGGCTACTAGGCATGACATGTAGAGGGAAGTGAATCCTAGTTGTTTCCTCGTCAGATGGGTTGGGGAACCGCTGATGGTAGTCCAGAACCGCTCGCATTGTTCGATAAAGGTCGGTTTGTGCAATACTCGGAAACTGGCGGTCATAGTCAGATTAGCTCGACGAAGCCTTTGTGTGTGCGGGTCGATCTTATGAAGGCTTACTGGTATAGGATCCTACAGCGAATTTGTTCTCGATGCTTCAGCATAGGCAATCATAAACCTAAGACCCAGTTACACATATGACTGACTCTTCCAACTGTAACATCCCAAAGTCAATCAGTCAGCTATACCATCATGAATCGAAGCTCAGTCTGATCATCGCGCTCACAAAGAACCTGATCAAAACCCTCCCGACCTGAACAGACGGTATCCGCCTGACGATCCCGCTAGCCTCTACGTAGTTGGCCGATGGAGCGAGGTGGTTCTTGGCTACAAGGCCGGTGAAGACCGTTGGGTTCGCTGGAAGCAGGAAAGAATAGAAAAAGGATCATAATGGATGTTGTAGAAGTCAAAGCTGGTCAGTTACGTTACAGTCGAGCCTGGATGATGACTGAGCTTCGGAGGAAGTAGAGGTCGTACCGACTGGAGTGATAGGTTCTGGTTCGTCAGAGGACCGAGCTTTACGCCCGAGGATTCCATCCTATCAATGCCACGATAGAGTGAAGAGATTGTGTAGAGCTCAGCTGAAGAATTCAGACACTCAAGTTGGAAGAGTGGACGAGCTCACCTCGAAACGGTACGCCGCGCCCCGCTCGTCATCTTCCCCCGGCGTCGGTGCATGACCTTCCAGCCCAGAAGCATCGATTCCCGAGTCTTTATGACTAGGACCAGGGAGGTTATTTGCGCTCCTGAGTTCGTCCAAATTTCGATGCTGACCGGGAAAGTCTGGTTGTCCGGCGGATCGTGATAAATCCGAGTAGGGTGGTTCTTGAGCTCTCGATACAGGGTGCTGGTATGAGGGGCCCTCTTGCGGCTCATCCGAGGCAAAGCCTACATGTCCTCCATCTCGTCCTATTTGTCCTGTTTGGTCCTCGTCGAAAATTCCGAAAGTTCCCCCTCCGTCGGAAGTGACCGCTCGTTCGTTATCCTCCTCCTCGAGCTCATCCTCTTGTGCTTCCCGATCACCTTCATTGTTCTCTTCCTCTCGGTGCAGTTCGGTATAGGCATTCGGATCGTCCCCGATCCTGGAGATCAAGACTGAGATGACTTGTTCTAGCTCTGAGACCCGTTTGAATAGGGTTGAGAAATCTTGAAGCTGGGTGTACCCGCTGCGTCCGTTGCAGGAGAAGACCGTCGATCAGCATTCCAACTGAAATCTTTGGGAAACCCTGTAGCATCCTGGCCAACCTTCACTTACGTCAATTTAGCTTGTCGTTCCCGGTCGCTGATCCTACATTCACTGGTAATGTTGCGGGCCTTGCAAGTCGAACATGGTAGTTGGCGGTCGCACTGTTCAAAAGGTGTCCGACCTAGAGGTCAGCTTCGAATTCGCAGGTCGCGATCGACTTCGCAACACAACCCGACATACCTTGGACTTTCTTGCTCGGCATGCTAAAAGCACCAGGGAAAACCATAACATGAAGCATTCAACATCAGTAGGTCCCACCATTCAAGCCGGAAGAACGGGGATGGGAGTGGCAGCCGACCGGGACTCACGAACGCAACTATAGGCCAATCGATCTTTCCGTCCAGCTGCAGTGGAACCTCGAAGAGCCGGGATGTCAAGCGGCTGACAACCGTCGAATACCAGTCAGAACCGCACAAGGACACAAGTGTGATTCTCTGGAAATAATATCTGGCCTGGTGGGGGACTCACGGGAAACAATATCGATTGAGCCGCTGGTCTGGAATCGTGAAATTCCCTCGGACTGGTTCGACGGCGTTTGCGGGAACTCGGACCAGGATTTGATGGACCGGATCGGAGAGACATCGCTATTGATTATTGAGCAATATTTGGAAGGAGGACTATGGCCAAATGGATGAGGGCAGAGGTGGTCGAGCGGCGGAGTATCGTCTGGGTGAGATGTCGATGGATCCACTCGAGGGGTAAGTCCTTGATTGTTGGCTCGTGAGTGAACTCGCAAAGCAAGCTGATCGGACAACGTCTGGCTGGATTAACGTTTTCTTTCCCAGGTTTTGTAACAGCTTTTCATCTCAAACTAGGCTGTATATAGGCGGACACTCTGGTCTACAAGTGCAACAAGCGGGCGACATCTCGATCCGATGAAGATCTACGGGAAAGTACGAAGTCTCGATTCGCCGTCTAATACTGGTCAGCAACGAGTCTCCATCTCAGCAAATCTATGTTGCACGAAGCCAGCGATATTCTGTTATTCACACAGAGGTCCTTGTCGTTACTCTGGGACGAGAAGGTCTACTCGACGAACTCGTCTAGCAACACCGCAGAGTAGTTGAGCTGGTGCACCTTTGGCGGCCAACGAGGATCGTGTTGATAGTCCACCTCGAACCTCCGCTTCCCACTACCGATCTCACTCGTCTCTCGGCCAGGAAGATCGATAATAGCTCGGCTATTAGGTGGGACCTCGACGTCGACTACTAGGCGGTCTCCTACGATCTCCCAGCAACATGCAGCTCGTCCATAAGGAGTGATGTGCGAAACGGCACACCGGGTGACCGTACCACCGGGTCGAGGCCGTACTCGAAACACCTTCCAGCCAGGCTCTTCGATGACAAGACCTCCCATTTGGGAGTGCAGGAAATGGGCTACCGACCCGAGCGCGAAATGGTTGAACGAGGTCATCTCCCCCGGATTGATCCGGCCGTCGGGTAACATGGAATCCCACCTCTCCCAGCATGTCGTCGCGCCCATAGAGATGGGGTAGAGCCACGAGGGAAGCTGTTTCTCTTGCAGCATCCGGTAGGCGAGATGTGTCAGCCCTGCGTCGGCGAGGCAGGAGAGGATGATGGGAGTCCCGGCGAAACCGGTGGAGATCTTGAAGCCTTGGCTACGGATCCGACGGTCTAGACGGGCAGACCAGGCGGATCGACGGTCGATACCTCGTTGGCCGGGACCTTCTAGACGGAAGTAAAGAGCCAGGGCCAGAGCACACTGGGATTCGCTAGATAGCATACCGTTTGGCGAGATCCATTGGTTGCCAAACTCGGTCAATAACCTCTCGGCCTGTTTGCCATAGCGCTCGGCCTCTTGTTCCAGCTTCAAAACGCTGGCGATCCGGCTGGCTATCCGAGTGACGTGCACGAGGTAAGCGTCGGCGACCATGACGCTGTTCGTCTGACCCCAAGCCGCGCAATCGGGAGGCGCCATAGGGTCCAACCAGTCCCCCAGCTGCAAGACATCCGGATGCCAAAGGTCGGTCTTGGGATCACGTACGATCCCGCAATCCAACCAGGCTCGCAAGCTATCCCATTGTCGTCGGAGGATCTCGTCGTCGGCCGAGGCTAGGTAGAGGTCGTAAGGAGTTAGGACGACCACATCGCCCCAGATGGCAAACGAGCCTTGGTCTTCCGGGCGCAACCGATCGAGGATATTGGGTGTGACGACCGAGGGAACGTTGTCGAGGTCGAAGAGCTGTTCTGAGCGGACGTCGCGCAGCCAGTCGCCTAGGATACCGCTGGTATCGTAAAGGAACGCTGCGGTTGGGGTGAAGACCTGGATATCGCCCGTCCAACCGAGTCGTTCGTCTCTGCGCGTACCGAGAACGAACGTTAGTCGGGTTGATCGATTAGGATTACTATAACCAGATCGCGACACTCACCTCTGCGGACAGTCTGTCGGGACCGATAAAAAGTTGCCCCTCATCCCCCACACGACATTATCATGCAACCGGTTCAACCAGGAGTGCGAGCAGGAAAATTCTCCTAATCGCTCCATATCGGTATGAACGACGATCCCTGTTAGGTCGTCCAACGTCAGACCGGGCCAACCGGTCACCTGGACGTATCGGAACCCGTGGAACGTAAACTTGGGTTCGTAGCCCTGCAACGAGACGCCGGGGGATAGGCGGACCGTCTCGGTGGCTGCGGCGTGTCGTAAAGGGCGAGTACCTAGTTCGCCAAATTCGAGCACCTCGGCATGCTGCAGCGTGACCTCGTGCGTCGAACCGGGATTGAAATCAATGCCAGGACCGGAGGTGTTCCAGCGTAACCAGCCGACCATATTTTGACCCATGTCGAGAACGGTCTGACCAGAAGGAGTGGCGATGATCTCGATGGGCTTGATCTCCTGCGTTCTTCGGATCGGAGGAGATTGTGGCGTAGAGGGGAGCGGGCCGTCGAGAGGTAGCGTTTCTACCGGTAGCCAGGGATCACCACCCCTAGGTTTATTCTCGGTGGAACTAAGGCTGGAGATGGACCATTGTGGATCGACGAGCGAAGCATCGTAAACTTCTCCATCGTAGATCCCCGAAGACAGGATGGGACCGTAACTCCACGTCCAGTCCTCCTCAAACTTGGCTGGTTTGCCATCGATCTCGAGCTGGACCAGTACCGCCATCCTGTCTCCCCAGATATCGTGGATCCCTCCTCGATAACCCAGTCGACCGGAATACCAACCCTCACCGAGTATCACGCCGATGGTGTTCTCAGCCCCTAAATTCGGGTCGAGAAGATGGGTTACGTCAAATGTCTGATAAGCGAGCCGGTGAGAGTAGGATTGCCATCCGGGAGCGAGAACGTGGTCGGATACCGGTTGGCCGTTCAGATGGGCTTCGTAGACCCCTCGAGCGGTGATATACAGCCTGGCACGGCTGGCCGTAGATGGGGAAAGGAACCGGGCTCGGAAGTAGAAAGGTCGTTTGCTCTCTCCTTTTGGTTGAGGAGGACCGGTTATGAACGGGACCACCCAGTCTTCCCGTTTCAAAAGTCCTGTTTCGAGATGAAGAGGTTTTGACCAGGGCGTCCAGTCGCCTAAGGTGGATCGTGATCGCACACGCACTGTTCGGCGGGAGCGGGAGTCGAGTGTCGAGGCAAGTGCTGGCCAGGGAACAAGGACGGATTGAGATGATACGACGTGGTGTGTCTGGCTGGAATCAGCATCGTCGACTTTGACGCTGGCTTCGGCCTGGAGGTGATCCTGATCGACGATCTCGAGCTCGTAAGCCGCCTGTTCCCAGTGTCTATCCCGTTCGTCTTGATGATCAGAGTTGAACCTCCAGCTAAGACGCGGTCGAGGGGTATCGATTCCTAAGCCGGATTCGTAGTGTTCCACGGTGAGTCGCTCGATGGTGATCATTGTGCGGTACGATATGAGCCGAGCGCGCAGGGGGTATTGGTGAGGTGTTATGCAAGATGTGAGGTTCTGAGCTTGAAAGTCGATGTGATTAGAACGATCAAATGCACATCAATAGCTCAAATGTGGCCTCGGTAGCCACCAGATCACTCTGGGCTCAGTGAGTCTAGGACCTACGGACCTAACAAGAATTATACGCAACGGTGCTCGGTCCGAGATCGCACATGTCTTGTGGGATTGCGATCGTTCGCACCTTCCCGTCCGACTTCCGATACGAGCGATTCCTTAGCGCACGCAGCGATTTTCGGCGGAACGATCTCCCGCAGCGGGATGGCGAGACGTTGCGCTCGTCGAGAGAACAAGCACAATGCTCCGCCGTTAACCGTCAGTGCAGAAGAGCATTACGTATCGGGATGTCAAAGTGGTAGGCCCCGGTGTACTCTGCGCCGAGTACATATATCGGGGGAGAACCGGTCAATCAACGTAGCGCATGGAGTGGTTTCAGCGCGTGCTTCGGAGCCTGAAGTCTGATAGTCAGTCGCGGGTCGCGGCTGGAATACTGGTCGTGTGAGTATGTCTGGGAGGCTCTTTTCGTATTTGCACTGGTGTATCAACCACGAACAACAGATGAGATACGTGCGAGCTACACTACGGTCAAGGCCAATTCTTCCTGGTACCTTTCCGCGACGGTACATCCAAACGTAATCCCGGTCATAAGGCAATGATGTACAGGTCGCAAAGAAGAACTGAAAGCCAGCAGCCAGACAGCGAAAGATACAGCAATTGAGAGACTTGTATTTCGATAATGCCTAGATCGTGGTGAATAATATGTGGTCATCCGATGTAGACCTCACAGCATGCGTGTATTGTTGTGCTTTTTGCGCCATCTCGCGCCAGACTTGTGTCAATTGTTTTACCATGTCACAGGTAGGCGCAGCACGGCGCATGACGTTCATCAAGGGATTGCTTTGAAAGGATTGTCGCGGCCGTCATACTCAGTCTTGTGATCAGCTCTGATCTCGTGGATAGTTAAGTCTCGTGATCGGAAATAGGGACAAAGGAACGCTAGGGGCTAGGCGATTAGGGCCCTCAAAGGCATCAACGGGGATGTCGATAAAAGCACCGGTGTTCCTGACCCGCCCTGTGGTCGCCTTGTTCAGCTTTCACCTCTCCGCCCACCATCCGGACTATTTCCCAAGACCACAGCAAATATGACGACTGAACACGACATTTCTGGACAGCTCCCCACTACTGCATAAGAGTCAGCTTCTGTCAACGCAAATGTTCCCGACACAACTTTCAACAGCGCGGATGCTGTACATACGGAATCTGGCTCATCGAAAGGATTCTCAAGCTTTTTCAGCCGAGCTAGCGGTGACGTTCCGTCCCCACCAAAAGACGAGTGGGAGGTTGTCGAGCTTGCTGAAACCGCGTTAGCCCCAGAGGATGCTCATACAATGCGTCTGACGGACCCTGACATCCTGAGGAGTCTCAATGACTGTTTCCAGCGCGATGGTTGGTATGAGCGGGAGTTCCTTGTTGCGCATATACCGGTGAACGAGGTCAGTCGAGAGCTACAGTATCGGATGTATTGAACCTCAGGTGCAAGATGTTCACCTCGATTGGATCTCAATGGCTTTCGACGCACAAAGATTCTGCTCGACTTGGAGTTCACATGTGGAGGACTTCGAGTATGGATCATACAGAAACTCGTCTCTGCAAAATCCTCCTATCTTCGTGGAGCTCAACGTTGCGCTATATTTAAGGATGAAGTGGACCACCTACTGCGAATTGAAGGAAGTAGTGTCTGCCAGTTGCGCCGGAACGATGGCGATTGGGTAGTGCTCACGCTGACGCCTGAGGTTTCTACCCGGAACCTAGAATTTGGTCTAGGGAAAGTCAACGTCAAGCAGTTGAAATTGTCGTGGAAAACAAGGAGCTGATAGGCGTTCGCACGGTAGTCTTCGGATTTTGTTGTACTATCATGCGCACATGCGAGATCTGAGTCCTGAGTCAAGTTTGTCGATAAATTCTGCGGATATTCAGTTTGCTGGCTTTACCAAAGGCATACTAAGGTTCGATGAAACCCCCGAAAAGGGATTCGATCAACTGTGTCAAGAAGCAATCAAAGCATGGAGTATGTGCTCTTCGCATCCTCTTCCCTCTCTATAGGCTGCGCTATCGGACTGTAGCGTCGATTTACAGGCAAAGTAAGCCGAGGACTTTCGACACCGCACGATTCAGGCTTCGTAGCCTTTCGCAATACGGCCAATCATTGTGCTGTTTGCTGACGCCTGAGCGATTCGTGATTACCTAGATTCGTGATCAGCTAGGTCTCGTGATCAGTTGCATCTCGTGATCATAACAACAAAGGATTACTTCGGTTTTACAAATCTGGGGTTCTCAAAGGGCATCAGACACAAGTATATAATAGCGGTGTCTTCAGTTCGCTCCTCTCGCTCTTTATTCCGATGTCGCCTGATTACTTTTCTTCGAACTACATCTATCATGGAGGACGAACTCCATTATTCTGAAGGTGCTCTCGAGCCTACGCAAGACACAGCCCCGACCAATCTCGATGGCTCGCAGCCCAGCATGACGCAGAGGACTTCCCCTTCTTCGACTGTAGGAACTGTCTCATCTGTTATGTCAAAGTATTTTGCTGCCGGCCTCGATCACCTGGTGTCCATCAGTTCATCCGAATTTGTCATTCCTTCGGAAACCAAATGGAAGATGGTCAAGCTTACAGATGAGGACGCGTTCGACAGCATTCCTCAAATCGATCGCCTGAAGGATGAGGCGATACTTGATAGCCTCACAGCATACATTCATTGGAATTTCGAGTTCTGTGAAAAGTTCTTTGATATGAAGCAAGAGTTTCCAGTAAGTCATGACCTAGAATCTCACGAAATAAGAAAGCAAACTGACCTTTCCTTTCCAAAGATCGAAATCTTCTGGCCTCGGTCGGAGTCCCTTCTGGGGACTTTTGCGCTTCTCGTTGGCAACATGGCCAACTCTGCCGGCTCATTCGGTGGTGCTCAGGACATGCGCCTCACTTTCACCGCGCGTGCCAACATTGACCGGATCACATCCCAGTGTGTCTGCCAGCTGAATAAGGAGGGACACCCGTACGCCTTGGTCACGCTCATCCCATCGAAAGACGAGCGAAGATTCGGCGAGAATTGCGATGGTCCTCCCGTTCTGACACGGGAGCTCGGGATCCGCTGGAAGCGATCAGTCGCGGCGGCTGCAGATTTCTCTCAAAAGTCCTAGCTCGACTTCAGTACTGCTCCAAGCCGTCTTCTCTAGATCTATCTTAGCAAAAGTTTCCAATTGTATGATCTCTTCTGACCAAACGCTACAGATCATCATCCATGTGCTGAGAGGGTCTTGTACCTGCATTGCTCAGCATTGAGATCAGCAGCTTTCTGTGATTTGAGACATGCTTCTCAGCGAGTAGTCGTGCTACCGCCGTAGCTCTCACATACTCTTGATCCAGTTCATGTGTTAAATACGCGTCGCCCCCTACGCCGACGTCTCTAGCACCCCTTCAGTAGTATTCATCAAAAACATAGTATAGTTCTACTTTTCTTTGACCCTGATGCTCTCCAAGTCAACTTGTTAGTGTTTTCTTCATATATTGACTTTGGGAGCATCAGGTATGTAGTAGAAGTCAACTTGTTAGTGTTTTCTTCATATATTGACTTTGGGAGCATCAGATTCTTTCATGGTAGCGGCTCACGGCCACGAACAAAGAAGAATCTGATACTTCGCAAATCAACGATCGACGAACACTCGAGCTTTGTCTTTGTACGACCCAGACGTACATGCCTTAGACACAAGCAGTGTAGTCACCCACGAAAACCGAAAACGAAACCGAAAAAAACGATTACGACACGAAAAACATCGATCGAACCAAAACCGATATCGACACGAAAAAACACGATCAACCATGTCGTCCCTCAACGACCTTCAATCTGCCCTTTCAACTCCGATCCTGGAAGGATCATCGAACTACTATGCGTGGCAACAACGCATGAAAGCTACCCTGGTCTTAAAGGACTTATGGGCGGTCACCGGAGCTGAAGACCTGAGGTTCGCCGCCAGACCTATCTTCGTTACGGAGGACGAAGAAGGAGGAAAGGTCGCCAGACCCCCGAACACTCCCGCCGAAAAGAAAGCCTTGATCGAATGGCTCGACAAGAACGACAAGGCCAACGCCATCCTCGATCAATACCTCGGACCTTCGGTAGCATACTTGACCGATGGGATCGAGACGGCAGCCGAGAAATGGAACGTACTTAAGAGGTCGTTTCAAGCGAGCGGCCGCACCGCTCGTCAGATCCTCAACCGGAAGCTCGAGAACATCAGGATGGAGGAAGGTACTACCGTTGAAGCTCACTATAAAGCTATCAACAAACTCTGGACCGAGTACCAAAGAGCGGGAGGCGACAAGACGGAAGAACAAGTCACCGAGATCTTCCTAAACTCCTTACCCCCTGAGTTCGACTCCACTGTCGCTACCGTCAACTCTCTCATCGACGCTCAGCCCCACGTACTCTCGATGTCATGGGTGCTGCAGCAGCTCAAGCGATACGAGGATCGCATCAACGCCCGACAGACTACGGTGAAGGAACCGGGAGCTATTGTCAAAGACGGACAACTCCTCATGGCTCAGTCGAACAACTACCGAAGCCAACAGCGATTCAACAACAATAACAACAACAATCGCTTCCGAAAGAAGGTAGACTTGTCGAAGGTCACCTGCTACAACTGCGGAAAGCAGGCAGGACATTACGCCTCCAATTGTCCCGAACCGGTAAACTCCGCGAACCGTACCAACAACAACCCTCGGTACTCCGCCAACCGTACCCCGATCCATCCATCTCGACAGGCTTATATCGCCGAAGCCAACAATGGCGAAGGATCGTCATCGGTATTCAGCGCACAGCAGGGCGGTGACGAACTGATCGTCCACTCGTCGCGACCTAGCTATGATGACCCTTTCGAGTTATTCATCGTCGAATGTCCGATCGGGCAGGAGGTACCTAGGTTGGGATACATCGGCAAGGACGTTGCCATGGCAGCAGCTGTCAAGAAGCCAACCGTCGTGCTCGACTCCGGAGCGAGCGGCCACATGGTATCCACCCGAAGTTGGATCACCGATTACCAGGCGTGTAAGGTACCTATTACGATCGGGGACGGGTCGAAGATCTACGCGGAGGGATACGGCACCGTTCGTATGGTATTCAACGTCGACAACGCTCCCTCTCGGGTGACGTTTACGAACGTGCTGTACGTACCTACCCTTGCCATCAACTTGCTCTCCGCTTCGGCCCTTCAAAAGGCGGGACTTAGCTTAGAGTTCCCGGCCTTGGGCAATCAAGCCAAAGTCAAGGACGGCCCTAGGACGGTAATCACGGCGTCGAGATCGAACGGCCTCTATCAAATCGATACCATGCCCGAGGGATCGATGAACGCTCTCCACATGAAGGTCGAGTATGTGGATCTACTCACCATGCATCGACGACTCGGACATGTCGGAAAAGGTAGAATCCTTGAGATGAACAAGCTCGGCTTGCTCAAAGGAGTTCAACTCTCGGGAACCGAAGACTTCACCTGCGAAACGTGTATCGCTACAAAGACCAAACGTAGCCCATACAACGGCGAGAACCTTAGGGCTTCCAAACCCTTGGAACTCCTTCATCTCGACATATGTGGTCCCATCAACGTTCCCACTATGAATGGCTACCGATACTTCGCTTTGCTCAAGGACGATTACTCGAGATACGTACAACCTGGTTTACTCAAAACTAGGGACGGTTTGTACGATTGGATGAAGACCCAGATCGCTCTCTTCGAAACCCAAACTGGCGAGAAGGTAAAGACGATTCGCTGCGACAATGCGAAAGAAATGACGGAAGGCAACCTCGCGACCTACTGCCGAGAAAAGGGAATCATCGTACAGACCGCCGCGCCGTACGCCCACCAAAACAACGGGGTAGTCGAGAGGGAAAACCAAACGGTTATGAACGGGATTCGGGCCATGTTGAAGGAGACCAAACTATCGAAAGGTTGGTGGTCGATGGCCCTTCACTGCTTCTGTTACGCAAGGAACCGAGTCTCTAACTCCTCCATCCCGCAAAATACGACTCCTTTCCAACGAATGTTCGGAAAAGAAGCTCAACACGGGTCCCTACGAACTTTCGGGTGCCCCGTATGGGCCTTCGTACCACCGGAGACCCGGACCAAGTTGGACGATCGATCGTTCAAAGGTATCTTCATGGGATACTACGAAGACGGAAGCCACGCATACCGGGTTTGGCACGGTGAGAAGCACAAGATGATGAAGATCAGGAAAGACGACTGCCAATTCTTCGAAGAAGATAGAATTCTAGACGGAGCAAGGGGTAATGAGAATCAGGAGGACGACCTCCGCATCGAAGTTACTCACCCCGAAGCCAGCTCAGAGATTCAGTCTCAAACCGAACCGAAAGAAGACGACGCAGATGACGATGGGCACTCGAACGAGGAAGATGAAGCTGACAACGAGCCCCCGGCACGAGGAATCGTACCCTCCACGTCGAATGACTCGGTACCTTCGAGTTCCGGTTCCGGAGATACTAATAGTTCAGTTGATACGGTCGGGTCTGGACGTCCTACTCGACAACGTAGGTTACCCGATCACTTACGTGACTATCAGTTGAGCTATGCCATCGCCGAGAACTTCGGCTTGGATACGGAACTAGCGAAGGACGTCGATCAACTGTTCGTGAACATTGCCAAGCAGGACTCATCGCAAGTACAGAAACTTTCTCATTTCGCTTCGGTCGCGACGCAATATATCGACCCGATCCAAGCGGTAAACGGAAAAGATGGACCGAAATGGAGAGCAGCGATCGAGAAAGAGCTGAGCATGATGGACAAGCTGAAAGTATGGCATCTGGTCGAGAAGCCCAAGGACCACAAAGTCATCGATAATCTGATGGTCTTGAACCGAAAAGAAAACCCGGACGGAACGATCAGGCACAAGGCCCGACTAGTCGCTCGCGGGGATCAGATGACCGATAAATATTTGGATACTTTCTCGCCCACCGTCAAGATGAACACGGTCAGGCTCCTACTCGCGGTTGGCGCTCAAATGGATCTCGAAATGGAACAGTTCGACGTGGTATCTGCGTACCTACATAGCGACCTGAACATTCCCGTATTCATGAAACAACCAAAGGGATTCGAAGCGAAGGACAAAAACGGAAATATCTTACTCGGACGAGACGGATCTCCCATGGTATGCAAACTCGACAAGTCGGTGTACGGACTCACCGTATCCGGACGGAACTGGTACGAAACATACGAACGAGAGTTGGGATCCTCCCTCGGCATGAGAAAGGTTCAGTCGGACCAAGCGGTATTCTTCTCGAGGCACGGCAAGATTATCACTATCATCATCGTTTACGTGGATGATTCCATCGTCATGACCAACTCCGTCGAAAGGATGAGCGAGGTCAAAGAGAAGTTGGGACGGATCTTCGACATGAAATGCCTCGGTGAACCCAACGTCTTCTTGGGGATCGAGATCAAGAGGGATCGCAAGCATAGAACCTTGAAAATCAGTCAAGAGAAGTACGCGAACGACATCCTTGAAAAGTTCGGTATGAGCGATTGCCGACCCGCCAACGTACCCATGGGGAACATCGACGATTTATTCAAGACCGACTACGCGCCTTTTCCCATCTCGGAGTACATGACCGCCCTCGGTTCATTGATGTACCTCAGCCATACTCGTCCCGACCTCGCCTTGCCATTGGCCTACCTTTCACGATTCGCCTCTCAACCCCTCGAACATCACTACGTAGCGATCAAACGGGTCATGAGATACGTCAACCATACCAAGAATCACGGGATCTTGTACGGCGGCGATCAAGAGCAGACGCCCAAGGCCTGGGTAGACGCGGACTTCGCTCGGGACCCTCGAGATAGGAAATCGACTTCGGCTTACGTGTTCTGCTACAACCAAGGAGCGGTAGCATTCAAGGCTCACAAGCAGAGCACTGTAGCGTTATCCACACGAGACGCGGAGTACATGGCGCTATCCGAAGCCGTTTCGGAGGCGATCTGGGAACAGAATCTGCTGCGAGAACTCGACTTGACTCCCGGATCCGTCACGATTCACGAAGACAACACCTCGGCGATTACTCTCGCTACCAACCCCGTCGATCACGCTCGCACCAAGCATATCGATATCCGACACCATCACATCCGAGACGCGATCAGTCGAGGACAAGTCAATCTCGTCTACGTGGAGTCCGAACACAACATCGCCGACGCTCTTACCAAGAATGTCCCACGAGCTGTACTCGAGAAACACAAGATCTCCATGGGAATGACCGCCTAATCCGAAGGGCGGCATCGGTACCGTCACGAGCACCGGCGACCATACGACTCTCGCGCGTACGCGATCGACATTACGAATGTATCTTTCTTTTCATTCCGACAACGACATCTCTCTTTACTCGAACGACGACGACATATCATATTGAAATACTACGACTCCTTATTACGAATACGAAAAGCATGAATACGACTTCGGGGTGAGGAGGACTGTTAAATACGCGTCGCCCCCTACGCCGACGTCTCTAGCACCCCTTCAGTAGTATTCATCAAAAACATAGTATAGTTCTACTTTTCTTTGACCCTGATGCTCTCCAAGTCAACTTGTTAGTGTTTTCTTCATATATTGACTTTGGGAGCATCAGGTATGTAGTAGAAGTCAACTTGTTAGTGTTTTCTTCATATATTGACTTTGGGAGCATCAGATTCTTTCATCATGGTAGAATCGTGTGGCGCGATATCGTGCATCATGTGACAAAGGTTAGCCATTAACCTGCTCCGCGTCACAAGGGTCGAGGAACAAAAGAGACCGTTTCCTAGCTGCTCTCACAGTTCAACATACTCAGCTTCTTTTCGATAGACCCGGCTTCGAAATGCAGCTCTGGAGGTTCCAACGATGACTGCGGTCATACTGCGTAGAGATACAGTAGCAGATACTCTCCTTTGTCATCGCTTGACAAGCTCGTCAGCAGGAAAGCTTGCTACCCATGTGACGGCACGATGATGTGATCCAAATTCCGGCATTCGTCCATCAGGTGATTTTGATAAAAGGAACACCGGTACGATGGTGTCATTGATGGGCATAGGATGTAGGAAGATTCGCTTGATGGGGAGATAAAGCTCACATTACTTCATGCCCTTCATCTTTTCCACTTAAATACCGAATATCTAGAATCGTGCTTGTTTTAATCCGTACAACTCATCTTGCCTTTGGAATTTCATACACTTATGTATATCACTATAGACTCCTCCTTTTGTACTCTATCAAGCGCAATGCTGTACTGTACATAGTCATTCGAATTGTCCGGAAAAGTCCCGCGATTTTGGCCAACGGCGATCGTAGTTCAATCGAAATGCGTCAGCGGAAGTTGCCTCTGCACTTCTTGTGCGTTCAACCAGCTTCCAATCACAATAAACACCCAGTCCATCTTGATGTCAAGACGACTTGCTATGCTGACGAGCTGGGCGTTAGGCGTATCCGCTTCAAAGCTTAATACGAACTTGAGAGAAGGTGGTGTTGCCAGCTTATATGCATCACTGATGGCCTGGGTGTCTTTGAAAGTCATAATGGAAACTTTCTGAATATATCTGGGGCCGATGGCCTTTGTGGCAACCCCGAAACAAGCCCTGGCCTTGGTCGTGTTTGTCTCCTGTAGCGGGGCCTCGGTCATGTTTGTCTGCCACAGCTTGGGCTTGGTCGTGTTCGTCCTCTGCAGCTAAGATGAGCTTCTTGGCAAGTGATTGTACTACTTACAGATTTTTGTAGTGGACGGTAAACAGATTACGGTGGGATCTTACGCAACAGCTGGTGAGAATTTCTCGCCGTCGTCACATGCGCGACAAGGCTCCACCATGAAAGCGGAGCCCTTGCCAGCTGAAGGAACAAGGGCCAGTCTGGCGATCAGCTATCATAACAAAGGAGCGACCGGTGAGGTATCTTGGGCTTGGACAGGGAACACTTCAGGTACATATACACCCGTGCTTTTACCTTTTCACCTTGCCGTCTTCCCTCTCTGCATCACTTGTGCTGCGACCTCAACCCGAAACAGGGAGGCCCGGTCAAATATGGCAGAAGTACCAGATATATCTGAAGTTCAAGGAAATCTAACCTTCTCCGATGTCAGTGTCGCCGGTTCATCGAGCTCGACAAGCCAGTCTGATTCAGAAAGGACTAATCACGGTTCGATGAGGTTCTCCGAGGATTTTAGTGGTCATCTACCTCCCCAGCCAAATCTACCCAAGGCGAAAAGGGATATTCTTATGCTCACTGATCATGTAAGCTCTGGGCAGCGGCGCCCCGAGCACCTGAGTGATGAACACGACATCTTTTGTCTCAACAACCTCTTCCAATCCGACCGTTGGTACGAGCAAGCATTCGTTGACGGAACGGTGGCATCAGTAAGCAATGTGATTCGGTTTCGAGATTGCAACAATTTGTCTGATTGTCGTATTCTTCAGTTCGCGCTTCATCTGGAACCAATGGAAGGGGAGTTCCGGCGATGGGTGAAAACGTTTTGCGATCCCAACGGTTCTGCCGGTTTTCGTCAGGAGAAATACACTCCGCCCTCATTTCTGTTAGAGGAACTTGGCTCGATGGAGGATGTCCGAGTCTGTCAATTGCGAAATGATGAGACCCGTTATGCGGTACTAAGACTGACTCCAGAAGTCATGTACCATCATCGCGCCCCTGGTAGACCTCCTGTGCGAGTCAAGCAGTTGACCTTCACCTGGGAGCTGTACCAAGATCACTTGTAGGATTGTTCGACCGATGGTCTCTTGAACCTCGCCTGTATCCTGTTCCTCCAGCATGTCTAGGAAGCTTCTCATAGCCCCTTTCGACCGTGTACATCATTCAAATGTGCGCTCGAGGGGTCTCAGAAATCAGCGCGGCTATGCTGCAGAAAGATACGGTTAGCAGATTCTCTCCTTTGTCCTTGGTCGACAAGCCCGTTAGCAGGGAACATTGCCCCATGTGATGACACAATGATGTGCTCCAGATTACGGCACTTGTCCATCAGGTGATTTTGATGAAGGTAACACTGATACGATGGTGTCATTGATGGGCATAGGATGTAGGAAGGTCCGCCTGATGGGGAGATAAAGCTCACATTACTGTATGACCTCCCTATCCCCCATTTGGATACCGAATATCTATAATTGTGCTTGTTTCGATCCGCACACTCATTTGCCGAATATGCAGTCCGTGAACTCCACCGATGAATCTTATTCCTCCTTGGACACTTCGCAAGATCGTAGGGAAATCGACGGAACGCAGAATTCGACTGATGGCACGTCAGTCAGGGGAGCCAGTACGATGTCTGTACTGATCAGTTCTATAGGCAGTCTGTTTACCAATGGCAGCGGTCATGACGGGCTTATCAACATTTTCAGATTCAGCCCATCGAGCGACGAGGACATGAAGTCCGACGAGCCCAGGATGGCGATTGGGCGCCTGGCAAACATTCCAAGAGCAACGAGATCAGCACCGAACCTGGGGATGGCTTTCTCAAAGCATTCAAGACCCTCATCCATGATCATCACGACTGGTTTCAGGAGATCCTCAAACGACATCGCTCAATCCGTCGAAACGCAGGCGGTAAACTAGCGAGTGGTGCCGACGAGGCGGCGAGGTACGATTTCGTCATGGAGGGTACGACGTTAAACCCAGAATGGAAAGGTTGGCTGGGCAGAGACTCATCTGAGCGAGGCTACGACCCCGGACAAGAAGGCACATTTACTGTCAACAGCGGAACCGTTGAACCGATTGTACGCAAACCTTCGAAACGGTTCGCGTGCATACTCTCGTACGGGCCGATAGATAATCGAGTCCATCCGATCGTTGTGTTTGAACCTGTCAAGAACTTAGAAGTGATACAGCCGGATGGACATTACATCAAGGACGAAAAGTACCTACTGACCTTTACTATGTACAATCCTGGGCGGCTCCGTTCCGTATGATAGACGTCTGTAGATACTAGGGAGTTGAGCGGGATCAATTAAAATTTCATGTCAGAGGCGCTGCGCTATCGCCCGAGTTTCATCGCAAGCGCAGAACGCCAACCGTCGCGGACGAGGGGTAAAGAAGCGTATGCGTGTCGCACAGCAGCACAGCAGCAAGAAACGGAAGTGCTGGTACAAATAAGAAATATAAAATGGTATGCTGTGCATCCGCTTAGCTGGACTGTGCTTATCGGCTGGCATGACGTTTTACGTCAGCTGACGGAAACTACCACGTCATATGATCGTCATGTCACCCGGAGAGCAAATGAAAGGAGGGCATCACTGTATCCCACATCAAGCTTCCCATTAGAGGCCTGCTGAGCGTCTATATCTCGAGGCATCGACAGGTATTGTATCTCACCAAGAACTGATCTCAAAACTAAAACAGCTCCCATAGTATTTTAAGCCACTTCCATCACGATCATGTCCCTCAGCGTTAATATCGTATCTACCTCCTTAATGATTAGTCCGACTGAGGATCAAACCGGATCCTCGCTAACAACCACCGATGGCAGGACTCAACATTCACCTCCCCCTTCCTCCAGTCAACCATCCAAGAAGCCAAGCTGGCTCTCTAGATTCTCGAGGTCTACCAACAAGGAACGCAAAAACACCGGACTCGCGATCAACCTGATCGATGTGCCATACGTATCCATCAGGACAACGACCTCATCGACCTTACCCACACCGCGGTACCCCTCAGAACCCATTCTTACCAGTACGAAGTCGAAATTCTTGAAGGCTTTCGAAGATGCCATTCGTCAATGCCCTGACTGGCGCAAGAGATTCTTGATGAAAGCGAATGAACCGAATGACCAGGAGCGGGCGCCAGCACCTCTCATAGAACGAGACTGTCGTCTATCTTGGTGGACGTTCAGGAAATCTTGGAGAGGCAACTTCATACAAGGCTGGGATTGAGGAATCACGTTCGACTTTCCGGATGCGGTCCACCGGGAACTTACGAGGGAGCCCACGCTCACGCAAAAGGTTGCCTGTCAGCCCTTAGCGTTTGATGGAGTTTGCGTTGTCATCGTTCTCGAGCCTGTCAAGGTGATCGACGAGAGAAAAGGAAAGGAGCACTACGATCTCCCCTTCAGCTTGTACAACTACCAGGACATAGTTCTTGGACCGCAGCCTTTATGATTCATCGCCAGCTATACTATAGTCGTCATTGCTGTGCGCATCAATTGGTATCCAGTTCATCCATGAGCAGGTCGACACGAGCTTACCGTACTAGAGCTGTTCCTGACCTTGCCAATCGAATCGTGCAAGGGGATGGAACGCGGAGCTTGCCCGGCCATTCTATACTGTACGATGAGCGACTCGTCAAACTTTCTTTTCTTGGCTGTCAAGAAAAAGGACGTCTACCAGCCGTTGACTCTGTCAGATCGGATCGATCCCTCTCGTCCTTCCATAGGGGCGGCTGGACCGCGCCGGAAGGATCAAGAGAGGATGACCGGCTGCGCTCGGAAAGGCGGAGTCAGGCGTCGAGACAAGTCGGACACGTCCATCCAAGATTCGCTGACAAGGTTTGTCTCACGTTGCAGCTTTATGGTACTTTTCTGATGGAACAGGATCAAGTTTGCGTACTCGTACATGATACACTTGATAAGTACTGCGGAAAAGAATATTGGAAAGACATCCAGGATATCATACCCTTGTCGCAATTCCTCGCATCCAATAACACCTCGAGCTAATCGCGCAGTCAAGTTACGTGACTGGCTAGTCCCTGTCAAGGCTTGAAACCTTCTCCGGGGCGGGGGCGAATGAAAGGAATACGTGTCTGGACTGACAAGCAAAGCAAAACGGGTAGCCCTAAGAGTGGAGTATATAGTCGCAGGCTTTTGTCATAGTTCCGGTGGACCCTTCAACCGAGTCGTTTCATCACCAGTCCGGTTCTACAAGGCCCTCATGTTTTCTCTTGACACCAAAACCGCGTCTCTGTCCCAAGCTAGTCAGCCTGACAAGGCTTCTTCTACAAGCTTGTTCGATAGCGCGTCGCAGCTTACGAGTAGTACAGGCTGGGATCGCTTGAAGTCTAGCTTGGCGTCTAGGCTCTCTGGTTGGACAAGCAAAGACTCTACCCGGAGCCAGGACGGCCCGTCTACTGTTTAGATCGCTCGGATCAAAGTACCGTACATAACTATACACGAAGAGGACCGTTTCTTGCGCCCCGGTGCCATAGGGATCAGCACGGAATCCAGCCAGAAGTTCATGGATGTGTTTCAACGGATCATCAATCGGAATGACAAGTGGTTCCAGATGATTCTCTCAGAGAAATGCGAAGTTGATCCTAGGCGTCTTCATGACCTCCCGCTTGTCATCCCGAAGTTCTACCATCTCGTGCTGCGCGAGCGCGCCAATCGTTGGAGGGGATCTCTGCAGCGAGAGAACCGCAGCGGCGCCGATTTCTGTGTGGCGGAGGAGGATGTTTCATTGCTCGCTGAGAGCTTGCTGGAACGCTCTGCATACATGCTATGGCCATGAGATGGAAACAATGGATTCGTCTTTGTCTTTTGGCCTGTAGAGAACTTCAATGACGGCCGTCACATAATCTCCTTCAGCCTGTACCTTGGAGAGGAATGTAACTTTGCAATCCAGCCTGCGCCAGAAGTGCTGAAATGACGTTTGCTGTAAATGACATGATTGATGGCAATTTAAGGCAAATATCATCGCCGGAATGGTTCTTGGCGTCTATCCTGTAACCTTTGCGCCACTCGCTGCGACGCTGTAACTCTCCGCGATTCTCTAGGGTTAGACTCTGTCGCCACTTCGATCTCTGCCCCAACGTCTCCAATTATAAGCATTTTATCATCGATTCACTTTAAACTCAAAGTAAAGTCGCTCGTCATAATTTCAGCTGACGATAGGACGATAGGATAGGTACCAGTGAACGATTGACGATCGGGTTACCGGGGACGACCACTTGTCGAGTACGTTCAGGCAGTGGTGTAAGATGGATTGCCTGGGTTCATCGAGCCTTGAAACCTTTCCAGATAACCCCTAACCCAATGAAAGGAAGACCTTTCAATCGAGAAGCAAAGAGGGGAGAGGAAATGGGGGAGCTGGATTGGGGATAACGTTACAATCTTCCTTCGATGTTGATTGGGGAATGTACAGAGCCGCTTGATTATATATCAGTCTGATCATCAACCATGTCTTCTTCTAAAAACAGCACTATTGCTTTTTCTGAGGCGAGTCGAAGTGAAAAGGATCACACCAGTTCTGCAAGCGATCTCGAATCACAGCATACGAGCTTGAGTGCACAAAGGGCTCACAGCCGGTTTACTTGGCCATTCAGTTCCAAGAGCCAGAGTGTTACTGAGGACCGGGACGAGTTTCACTCTATCCAGTTTTTCATGATCGATGCTTCAGTGTCATACATGACCATCCGCATCGAGGATCAATTTTACGGTCAGGGCGCAAGGAAGATCAGGACCCAACCCACAGAGGGTTTCATGAAGCTATTTGAGAATATTGTTCGTCAGAATAATGGGTGGTTCCACAGGATCCTCTCAGCAAGGCCCACTTCCCCGGCACAGCATTCGACATATATTCCACTTACAGAACCAAGACCAACCGAAGTTTACCATGTCATTCTGTATCAGGACAAGGAATCTTGGAAAAGCTTGTTGCAACCAGATTTAGGAGGTAAAGCTGAGTTTCTGGTACCACACAAAAAATGTCTTGCACTCAACAAAACACCACCTGAACGTGCTGCATACTGGCTCTTACTGCTCGACATGGACATGAGTCTTGTTGTTGTCTTCGAACCTGCGGAATGGTTTGGCAAAGACCATTGCCGGCTGTCATTCAGCCTGTACCGGAGCCAAGAGTGTACCTTTAACAGAAGACCGTTTGAGGACTGCTTTTACGACCTCTTTGAATGATATGTTAGATATCATTTATTGTTATTTTTGCTCAAGGCGACGAAATCTTTCAAAACACCTCTCCTGTGAGATTCACATCATTTGCTTACTTTCGTGCTCTCTGCGTGAAATGACAAGATATCGAACTCGCCATTGGTCACAACTGTTCCCTACGACTGATGTACACACTGCAGGGGTGGAGTATGAGTGATCAATATGCATATGAACAGGTCAACGCTCGAGGCTCAAAGCAGAGACGCGGCGGGTGGCGATGACGATACAGCAAACGAATCTGATCGACATGTTTTCACGAACAAGTCCCACCAGGCCCGGAGCTGAAGCCCAGGAGGGAGACAGACATGCTCCGACCCCGTCTTTGCCTTGACTTCCCAATGATACCGTTTTGTCAAGGCTTCAGATTTGGTGTCCAATTTCCGCTCGTAGCGATACGTAGTTGATCGATCCAATTGTAAACCTCACGGTAAATGATGGAAGGGACTTTGAAAGCCTTTTTCGATCACGATGAAATTGTGGATTGTACAGTATCGCACAATCGATTGCGTCAATTGATCCTTTGAGGAGCCTGATTACTGATACTGCCGCTGTATCTCCCTCTGGCTAGTATTCCGCTTGCGTTCTCGACTTTGTTCTTCCTTTGTTTGCTCGTGGTAATCCGAGCAGTGGAAGCCGCCTTTACCCCGTGGCAACCACCAAGCTCGTGATTCATAGTCTGGCTATGACGCGGTTCAGTATCTAATGAGACCTTCTCCGTCTCCTTGATGAAAGGAGACTCCTATTGGACTGAGAAGCAGGCGATTTTCGAGATCACCTGAGTGGAATATATACTGTATCGATGGCCATCCAATACCTGTTGATTGACTAGACGCGGGATATGACAGCCTTCCAGTAGCACCTTTTCTGAAATCTTCATTCTTCAAGATGGCTTCACCCAATACAAACTTCAACCCTTCCTCGATCAACAGTCAGCAGACTACCATTGGCACAGGGGCATCCTCCCAGTCGCAGTCCCAAACCGCTGGCTCCCAATCACAACCGCCTACAACCGGAGACTCTAGCAAGACGTCCATATGGAGGTCTGTCAAGAATCGTCTTTCCAAAGGCTCAAAAGAAGAAGGGTCTGTTCTGAAGACCGAACCTTTCGCCCCAGCTGAACGATGGGTGAGCCTCCAAGCTGCGGGCGCAGCTTTGAAGACCGATGTACCGAAGGCATTCTTGCAAGCGTTCGAGCGCATCATTCAGCAGGAAGAAGTGTGCGACAAGATCATCTCCGATGTCGACACGTCAGGTAACGTGTTGAGCGGTGGTGATAACTATCAGGTCACTTGGGGACCCCGAGGTCGGTCGTTACAGGGGTCGATCAAACAAGGATCGTGGGAAAGTGGCACGTTCGAAATTAGCAACACTGATCACAAGGCGTTGGAAGAGAGGCTCGACAAGGCGCTGGACCTGGCTTCCCGACTCTCGGTCAATGGCAAAACGATCTTGGTGGTGTTTGCGGGTGTCAATCCACTCGACGGAGGGGAGACGGGGTACAGGTTTTCTTTCCGCTTGTACCCCATCGATCAGCAGATTGGTGAACCCAGTGCGCAGCCGCCTTCAAAGTTGGTGGCCCTAGCGCGCAAACCCATTCAAAGTATGGGAGTGGCATAGAATTGAGTCCTGCAGTGATATTGGTCATGAGTTCACTGTAATATTGAACGCGTGTCTATTGTGATATCGATGATATGTCTGCCGTCTGACCATGCAAAGGATCAGTGAAGCAGAAGTGGTCAGGCAGACCGGTAACCTTCCCTTGCCGCCATTCGACAAGTGAACGAGCTGTCAAATATGTATGCTCGGCAATGCTCTCGGCGACTTGAAATGGTACTTTCGCCAACTATCTACGTACTTTTTCGAGCTTGTGGCCCTGCGTTTACTGATGTATCTAGGTTAACCAGCCGTCTCAGATGTTCACGCCCGCGCTCGCGCGAGTCCTGAGACCCGGCAGACAGACAGTCGGGCCTGTACGACAAGGACAGCGTTGCGTACTCATACAGTATGGGGATTCCAGATGGGTATGATCTGCGACTCGCTTGTGAAAGGAAATAATTTGACGTGCGTTTGGCACTGCACTTCGTCCTGCCTGTCAATTGATCTTATGCATTCAGCGGGTTACAGGAGATCCCCATCGGCCACCTTCCGTTACCTGCACAAGCGATCTCTTTCCTATATATCGGCATGGCATATTGATGGTACCCTTGACTCCCAGGGCTGATATAAATCATGCGATTATTCTTCCATTCCAGCGATAAGGAACACAGGTTGGTCAGTAGATCGAATTCGTCGTGATAGGCATCGAGCTTGCGCTCAGGGCTGTGTTTTGTTTCACAGGCCGATATCGCAGATTTGGTTGCAAGAGGGTATCAAGCGCCCCAACTTCGCCTTGAAAAGGTCCTAGACGAACTTGCCAATCAGGTCAAAGATCCGACCGTCGAGAACGCAGTGGAGAATCTTAAAAATAATCTGTACCGAAAGAATACTCGCTTACATTGTACTGGACTGTTGTCTACACTCGGCGCTTCCTCATTGATACACTGATCTCGTATCGAAACCCCATGTAATGCAAATCATATCAATATCTACAGTATTTTGACCCCTCGGGCTTTGCGACCCATCTTATCCTCACTTCCGCCATGAATCCCCAATCGGGACGCCATCATCAGTCTCATTTCAGATTCTGATCCCGATCAGTCATCCAGCCGTTGACACGCATCTCTGGATCGTTCCTATGTGATAGGGGGTCAGAAATTGACCAAGCGAGATGTTTGAGGTCAAGTTTATAGGACTGATTGATTTTCCGAGGATCGAGACTGACCAGGTTCATCCATCAGAATGATCAAGCTTCGTGCAGGTCGAGCGCGAGTGGCGCGTGTCTTGTTTGAAACGCGGGGAAACCGTGGGGATCCTTTGACGAATGACAAACCACGATGATACTAGGGCTGGGATGTTGTGCAATAGCCAAGAAGAAAGTGGGCTTAGATGTGGTATTCAGGCGGTAGTCCAGGGCTTCATGTCCCTTCCGCCGAGTGTTGTGGTTGTCTCGTTTCGTAGATGACGGCTACTAGGATGACGTGTCAATTGCAAAATTCGATTAATTACCCGTTACGTCAGATGAACCTCAACGACCTCGCTCCGATATGATCATCAACCTCATCAACTCTCCCATCAACTCGTACAACCCCCCATCATCCTCCAATCACCTCGTCCAGCTAGACAATATCCCTACATAGCTCCACGATGTACTTCCACTCACTCACCCCGATCGTCCCCCTGCTAGCCGCCCTGGCTCCTACCACCTCGGCACACGGCTCACACGCTCCACCGATACTCAACGCCGAGGGGATCGATGATAGGAATTATATGCAGAAACACGTCAGTATCCCCTTCGTCTGCCCGTCTTCCCGGCGGTTTGTTTGCGATATTACTTTATGGGAAAGGTATTGAGAAGTAGTAGCTGAAGAGAACATTCTGATTTCTGATGGTCGTGGTCACAGGCTCAAGAAGAACATCATCTGACGGACTTTGATGTCGAGTCGTTCTTCCAGTACGTCACCTCTCCCCCCGCCCCTCTTTTCTTTTCAATCTCTAGATCGAATGTGACTGATGTCTCTTGTGTGTCTTTTGTCTTTTTGTGCTTGTGCTTGTGCTTGTAGCCTCCACGACCTGGATAGGGACCACTACCTCTCCCCCTCCGAGATCGAAGCCATCTACGGCCTACACCATCCTTTACACCTGTCCCATTCCCAGAAAACTAATCCGAACAACCCTGAATACAACAAACCGCAGAAAGAAATCCCAGACTCCCCGGCTATGGAATCTAAACGCCAGATCATCGTAGCCAAAGTCCTTGCGAACTTGGATACGGATAAAGATGGGAGGGTTAGTATCGAAGAGTTTGTAAGAGGAGGATGGGAGGGGTTGCCTAGTTTTACGGGGTGGGGTGGGTTGGGGCATCATTATGGGAGCGAGGAGGAATAGTGAGTCCATAGAGTCTGGCTTCCGGGGCTAGATAGGGGTGATTTTTTGTTTTGGGAGCTGATGGTGATGATTCTTGTCGTTTCTTATCGTGCTCGTTGGATCGTCGATCGCGTGATTGTTGCTCTGATCTAGTTTCTTGCACCATGAAGAAGTAAGCATAGTATAGTGTTCTCACTGCGTCTCCTCATGCTCTTTCTCTCTCTCTCTCTCGTTCGATTATCATTCCTCCCGCGGCTCATCATATACATTTCAACCTGATCGAGCTGACCGTTTACCTCCCCATCTCCCTTCAACCCTCCTGATCCCCATCTCTCATCCCGATCCTGCTACCCGCTACCCGCGGTCTGCTCTTGTTACAACAATAGTTGTACCACAACACCCCGGAGACGCAGACGGATGAGAGTTATACGCATCCGGAGGATATCGAACATTTCGCTGGTTAGTCGAGAGCAGAAACGTCTCTATGGCTCTTTTTACTCGTTGCTGATTCTGAACGCTATGCAAAACTGGGTACCGTCTGGCCGATCATTGTTTCATCGAAATGGATCCTGTACCTCGCCGATCACGACACGATGACAACGACGATGACGACACGATGACAACGACGATAACGACCATGACGACCACGACTCCGACGATCGACTCTACAGAACACGAACACATCGAAGCCGAGGAAGACGCCCGTGAACGCGAATTCGAAGGTCTTCCCTCGGACGCCCCGTTGACCGAAGATCGGGTCGTGGAAGATCCTCTCGACGCCCACGCCCATGGGTCGCAGGACGACCAGGCTCCCGGAGCTCAAGACCAGGATCAGGCGGCCTTTCGTCGACCGGCCGGGTCCAATCAGGGCAGACCTGCGCGGATCGAACGGACCCGCCCGTCCACCGAGGATCTGGGCAGGTTGGCGAAAGAGGCGAGGGAGCAGGGGACGTGGGGAGAGAGGGACATGCATAGGCCGAGGAACGATCGGGAGAGGATGAGGAAGGGGACGCCTTATAGTCAGTATGAGCTGGTCATAACTGGTCCGCTTGCGACCGGGTAGAGACGAATTGAATTGCACGAGCTGACCGGGGATGATATCATCTTGCACCGGTTCGCAGAGTACAAGATGGGGAGGAACAACGAGTTCTAAATCGGATCCATGACCACAACTACCGGCGACTTTCCAGACTACATATCAGGACCGGGGGAAAGGCATATTTAGACGGACGAGCGAGTCCGTTGGGCGAGAGGACTATATCCTCTTCCCTCTTGTTCTCTGCTGGGAACGCGTTTCTCCTGTTTTTTCTTTCTTCGCAAAGGGTCCAATTTTTCAGGGTGATTTGATGTACGAGCTGTCTATCCTCTAGCCTCTAGGCTTCTACACACTGTATGACCACACACACATCTAGGTAGACTCTCCTCGAAAAGCACTGTCTTGTGGGCTCACGTCAACCCCTGACGCATGTCTAGTCACGTGATGCCAAGCGGAGAGGGCGTGGGGGGGTCGACGTCATCGCTCGAAATAGATTTCATCATCAAAATCGACGATGACCATATTTCAAGGACAACGGGTCAGCAAATATGGTGGTTCAGATCGACCTCGACTTGTCCAGATTGACTATAGTCATCGTCGAATAGCAATAATAATCGCAGCGATGCCTACCACCACGACGAGATCACCTAGCATGTCGGGCTCATCCACGTCCACGGCCAGGGACACCTCGTTACCTCCTCCTCCTCATGCGATCCCAGCCAACTCTGAGAAACCGCACGATCCCTCCAACGCCTCTGCTTCGAACAGACCACCATCACAATCACAACCACCTCAAAAACAACAGACAGGTCGACAGGGCAACGACAAGGACGCCGACGACGCTCGAGATCAAGCACTCTCAGAAGACGGTCCTCCGGAAGATATCCGATATTACCTTCCCACGCTCATAGGCCGGTTCGTAGGGTACCGCCCGCCAGGCCTTAAACCGCCCTTTGAACCCCTGGGGATCCCTCCATTCAAGTACCTCTCCCACATCCCGCTCAAGTATGAGAATTATATATGGAGCACAGTGGGGAGTTTTGTGGGGATCATTTTGATTGAGATGGTGATGATCAGGGCTTTTGCCGGGGTACCGGGGAATGGACTGATAGTAGCTGCTTTTGGGGCCGGGGCGGTACTGGCGTATAGTCAGTTTGAGAGCCCGTTGGCTCAGCCGAGGAGCATCATAGGCGGGTCGGCTATCTCCTGCGTCATCTCGGTCGGCCTGACAAGACTCTTCCGACTGTCTAACAACTACGGAGCGACTTCGAACTTAACTTCCGGAGAACTAGGCTCTCTGGGGTGGATCAACGGAGCCCTCTCCATGTCCCTCTCTTTACTGGCGATGCAGCTCACGGGGACGACTCATCCGCCAGGAGGAGCTGCGGCGTTGGTAGCGGCTACGCAAGGAGGGGCGATCATGATGAGTTGGAGGTATATTTATGTGGTTATGGTATCGGCTTGTTTGGAATTGGGTTGGGCGTTGGTTTGGAATGTGAGTCCATCGTTATCGTCATCGTCGTCGTCAATATCGTCATCCGTGATGACCACCACTCTACTCGGACCATACCTTGAAACTTGAAATACTGAAAGTTCTAATTCGCCTTTTTCCTCTCTCTCTCTCTTCTGCGGCTTCCTCTGATGTCTCGTACACCTCGAAACCTCGAAACCTCGAAACCTCGAAACCTCGATCCACTGGAATCCTTTCTCCTCTTTCCTCTCTTCCCTCTCACGACCACGACCACGACCCGACCACGACCATGAACACGACCACGACCACAACCACCTCCCTTCCCCCGAACCCTCCTCCCGTCCCACTCTAACTGTCCACGCAGAACCTCGGCCGAAGACGTTACCCAACCTACTGGATCTCCCCTTCCTCGACCCTCGGCGCCCGTACATTCCGACGACTGCGCTCGAATGCCCATTCTCAACAGCATGCCGAGGCTGACGAGAAAGCGACTGCAACTATGGCCCGGAGGGAATCCAGGAGGGGCACCCGGGGGGAGTCCAGGAGGATGACGAGGAGCGAGAGGGAGTTTTTAAGGGACGAACAAGGGAATCATAGGCATGTTATAAACACCGAACAACGATTAGGGATGGGGGAGGGGGCCGGGTTGAGGCCTGATCGGGAGAGGAGGTTGGTAGAAGAGGGGATCTTTAGTAAGACGACGCAGGAGAGGTGGGGGGTATGATAGGGAGCCAGGGTTTGGGGTGTAGGGTGTAAGGTGGGGTTGGACTTGTGGAGTCGAGCAGGTTCGGGAGGGGAAAGGTGTGGGGACGGGGATTTAAGGATCGAAGCCGGGTGTGGGAATGGCTCATCAGGACGATGAAGGAGCGACGAGCGACGAGGAGGAGGACCCGAGATCGCCCCCGGTCCGCACCGCCAAACAGGGCTGTGATCGGAATCACAACACGTCTGTCATCTGTGAGGAACCGGGACCTCCTCGAGATCGTCGAGTGGACAAGAGACTCGGCGTCCAAGAGGCAAGGGATGAAGTCAGACTCGACTGGAATGGATTTCGAACATGGAATCACGCGAGGCTTTCGGATCTGGAGCGTGGGTGGGGGTGATGGTTGCGGGCCGAAGTTTGAGCAGCGGTACGGGAGGGTTTATAATACGCTCGAGGTCGAGGCTCTTTTTCTGTTTCTTAGTGTACAGTATGACCCTCTGGTATTTGATACGGGAGTGGGACCTGGCCGATTTTACTGTATCCGTTAGATATGCTTTAATATTATGTGCGACTCCGGCTAGGTCAGTCTTCATTGCCAATCGTTTTACCGCTTTGTGTGGTGGGTGTCTTGTGACGGCCGACAGGAGCAGACGACCATATAGTTTCAGGTCAAGCTCAGCCACGTTAGTTGCCAGTCGCAAGGCCGCCGCCTCTCAACAGATCTATATCGAACTTTGCCACATCGAGAGTCGAAACTTAGGGGTAATGATCACACTTGATCAGGACGGACGGACATTCATAGATCTACCGATGTCCTTTGTTCCAGGGGGATGATTACGTTATGCTCAGGACACGCGCGCGCTAGGGGACGTTCGTTATCTCTCTCTCGGGGGATTTGTTTCGGGACCAAATCGACAGCGCGCTGCACTACTTCTCTTATCTTTCTCCTTTCGAGAGATAACAACGAGGAAGGATGATATCGATATCTTTCCCCTTCCCATCTCCCCAATTCCCAATTCTCACACGGATCTCATGCACACGGGAGGGGATTTCCTCCCTTTGACACATTCAGGTACACACACAGCTCACCCCTCTCCTCTCGTGATTTACGTGTGGCTCCAATCAGGATGAGGCGATATACATAGTATCCCATTCCAGATCGACTACCGGCAGCACTTTCTTGGCACAGTCAAGGGGTCGGACGTCCGGGGAATCGATGTTATCGACGGCGGGCGAATCCTTCCGTTCCCGTCGAGCGATCCAAGTGAGCGAAAGGGATTCTTCATAATAACTCTACAACAACGCTGTGACCAGCGACAGGCGAAAGAGGTAGATCTTCTGAACTCCGCACTTTACAACTCGCATCTCGTCCGCCCCATCGTCGTCATCATCAGCATCGGACAGCTCGCGATTCGACAAACCTCGACCTAGGACCTGCGACTCCCATCCCACTCACACTCGATCTGAACGACGTCGAACGACCCTCATACCCGCCCCATCATGACCGCCCCTGTCCCGGCAACAGCATCTTCATCCTCGGCCTCGGCCTCTGGATCCACCTCATCCCGCCCAGCCTCCCCTTCAGACTCATCCTCGACCACAGCTACAACCCTCTCAAACCCTGCCCCAGACCCTCCCCGTACACGTACGAGGATCTTCGTCGTAGGCCTCGGGATGGTAGGCATAGCCTTCATCGAGAAGATCCTCAACAACGATACGGAAGGGAGATATCAAGTCGTCACTTGTGGAGAGGAGAAACATTTGGCGTACAATAGGGTCGGGTTGACAGAGTATTTCTTGCATAGGAACGTTGGGGAGTTGTATTTGAACAGTCCGGAGTGGTATAAGGCGCAGGATCCGGAGAGGTTGTGAGTCGAGTTCTCATCGGCCCGTTCTAGGTTCAGAAGTTACGCGCTGTTATGATATACTCGGAAGCTGATCGTCTTCGTCTTCGTCTTGATTCCTTTGCTTTGCCTTTTGTCGACTCGTAGCGAATTCCATGTGGGTCAACAGGTCACGCATATCGACACGGCCAACAAGACGGCCTCGACCGATACGGGCCATACGTACGCCTATGACATTTGCGTGATCGCCACGGGGTCCGATGCGGGCATGCCGCCTTACTGCACCCAAGCGAGGGCGAAGAAGACCAAGGGGGTCTTTGTTTATAGGAACATTGCGGATTTGGAAAAGATCATCGACTATGCCGATCAGCCGCATGTGACCCGGGCGACCGTCGTCGGGGGAGGATTATTGGGGCTCGAAGCGGCGAAAGCTGTTTATGACCTCCCGACCATCCCCGATGTTAGTATTATCAACCGACAAGGGTACCCGCTTTCCAGGCAGTTGGATAAGGAGGCGGGGACGATGGTCCTCAGGAGGATAGAAGATATGGGCGTCAAATGCCTGACCAACGTCGACGTCTCTAGCATGATGACCGAACCGTGCGCCGAGGACCCGGGGATGGAGGTCTTCAAGGGTTTCGAATTCGTCGATGGGGAATGCCTCGAAGCCGACCTGGTCATCATGGCCGTAGGGATCAGCCCTCGTGACGACCTCGCCCGGGCGAGTGGGATCAAGTGTCACGCCCGGGGTGGGATCGAGGTCGGGGACGATCTTCAGACGTCAGCACCCGGAGTCTATGCGATGGGAGAGTGTGCGAGTTGGAAGGGAAATACGTATGGTCTGATCGGTCCCGGGGTGGAGATGGCGGATATCTTGGCGTTCAACCTTTGTCAGACAGAGACCAAGTTGGGGAAGTTCAGGCCGAGGAAGATGAATGCGCCGGATTTGTCGACAAAGTTGAAGTTGATGGGGGTCGACGTGGCCAGTTTGTGAGTCTCCGAGTCCGAGTCGGGCGATAATCTCGAGAGCGGAGACCGTCGTTGTTGACGCTTTCGACGCTCTTTATGTCCTTTGCAGCGGAGACTTTTTCGCCGACAAACCGTATGGCCGTGAACAAAAGCCGCTGGTCGAAAAGTTCCCCAAGACCGTGACCAGCTCGACCTCGGCCGATGCGCCGATGGCCGACACCCACGTCCCCGGAGAACCCGCCCTCCCCGGCACGGACACCTGCGCTCAACATCGTCGAAACGTCGAACGCAAGGTCAAGGTCTACGAGCCCTTGCCGGACGAACCGATCAAGTGTTTGACGTACAAGGATCCGTTCTCGGGGACATACAAAAAGTTCATCTACACGGCCGATGGCAAGTACTTGCTCGGTGGGATGATGGTCGGCGACGTCTCGGATTTCATCAAGCTCGTCTCGATCACCAAGAAGAAGAAGGCTTTGGATGTCCCTCCTTCCGAGTTTATCATCGGGAAAAAATCGGGTGGAGAGGATGACGGCGCCGACCTGGACGACGACGCTCAGATCTGTTCTTGTCACAACGTGACCAAGGGAGCCGTGGCGAAATGCGTCAAGGATGGGTGTGATACGATCGGAGACATCAAGATCAAGACCAAGGCCGGGACGGGTTGTGGGGGTTGCATGCCGTTGGTAACGAGTGAGTGGTCGTGTTGACGCTTGAAGACTCGACCTTGCTGACATGTTGTTTGCCCCTCCCGCCAGACATCTTCAACGCCGAGATGAAAAAGGCCGGTCGAGCGATCAGCAACCACCTCTGCCCTCATTTCGAACACTCGCGAGCCGACCTGTTCAACATTGTCAAGGTGAAAAAGCTCACAACGTTTACCGAGATCATGGAGGCCGCGGGGAAAGACAAGGACAGCATCGGGTGCGAGATCTGCAAGCCTACCATCGGCAACCTGATCTCCTCCACGGCGGGGATCAACCGACACGTCATGGACCCGGTCCATCACGCCAATCAGGATACCAACGATAGGTTCCTCGCCAACATTCAGCGTGACGGGACGTTCTCGGTCGTACCCAGGATGGCGGCGGGAGAGGTCACCGCGGACGGTCTCATCGCCGTGGGGCAGGTCGCCAAAAAGTACAACCTGTACACCAAGATCACCGGTGGACAGCGAGTGGACCTGTTTGGGGCTCAAAAACAGGACCTGCCCGACATCTGGGAAGAACTCGTCGATGCCGGTTTCGAATCCGGTCACGCGTACGGCAAGTCATTGCGAACCGTCAAGTCGTGTGTGGGCAGCAGCTTTTGTCGATACGGGATCGGCGACTCGGTCGGTCTCGCCGTGCAACTCGAGGACCGTTACAAGGGGATCCGATCGCCTCACAAGATCAAGGGAGGTGTTTCGGGGTGCGTTCGAGAGTGTGCAGAAGCGCAGAGTAAGGACTTTGGTTTGATCGCCACGGACAAGGGATGGAACGTGAGTTCACGCCGCTGACCGAAACTGCTTTCCCTTCAAGACCAAGCTCACCCATACATCACCCCTTGCACAGATCTACGTCGGAGGAAACGGAGGAGCCAGCCCACGTCACGCCCAGCTCTTCGCCACCGACGTCCCCCCTAACCAGGTCGTCCGGATCCTCGACCGTTACCTCATGTTCTACATCAAAACCGCCGACAAGCTCATGCGTACCGCTCGCTGGATGGAGAGTTTCGATGGCGGGATCGACAAGTTGAAAAAGATCATCTTGGAGGACGAGCTTGGGATCTGTGACGAGCTCGACAAGTCGATGGATGCTTTGGTCGGGGTGAGTCGCACAGCGAGTGCGTGAGGGTCTCGGGAACATGCTGACTGATATTGGTGACGCCCCTCTCGCTTACCAGACGTACGAATGCGAATGGACCCGAGTCGTCAAGGAGCCTCATCGTAGGAAACAATTCCGACAGTTCGTCAACACCCCCGAACGAGCTCGGAACATCGAGGTCATCACCGAGCGTAACCAACCCCGACCTGCCGATTGGCCTAAAGAGTTCCCCACGGTCAAGATGACCGAGAGCATGATTGACGCCGACAAGGACGAATGGAGCTGGCAACAGGTCTGCAGGATGGAGGATCTGAACCCGACCGAGGGAGCGACGACGTCTTGTTCGGTCAAGATTGGGGATAGTCAGATTGCCATCTTCAACGTACCCAAAAAGGGGCTGTTCGCTTCCCAGCAACAGTGTCCGCATAAACGGGCGATGGTGCTCGATCATGGGATTATCGGGGAGGACAAGGACAAGAACCCTTACGTCTCATGTCCCTTGCATAAACGGAACTTTAACCTCAAGTCGGGGAACTGTCTGAACGATGCCGACTTGTCGATCGTCACCTTCCAAGCTAAAGAACAGGATGGCGACATTTACCTGTACTTGCCACCCGGTCAAGCTCTGGACGCGGCGATCGGGACTTCGAAGTGGATGGTCACCAAAGCAACAGCCGAACTCTATGGACGAGGCGCAGCTACAGCCGTCGCGCTCAAGGACAAGGCGTTGCAGCTGGTAGGACCCAAGGACGAGGTCAACCCGAACAGGGGGGCTATGCCGGGGAAGACGTTGAGCGCGTGTTCGAACCCGGGACTCGATTGGTAGATGCATAGAGCGGCAGGCGAATGAGACACGATAGACGACGAGATACGACTTGAACGATAGGTAGTTGTAAAAGACGCGCGCCCGTGAGATACGCAGTATCAGAACTTGTATACAATCAGAAGAACACGATTCGTTCCAAAGACTGCTTGAGGCCGAGCTTGTGATCTCGCGATAGGTAGTTGTGGTCGTGGTTACCGTGGGAAGTTCTGGTTTTGAACCAGCTCGCAGCTCGACGGATTTCATTCCGGGGTGATCATTCCAAATGAAATGGCGTGGAGCCTCGATTCCCAAACATCCGGCATGGGCCAAGAGGGAAGCCAGGAGAGATAAGGGAGACGACCCCGGAGCTAGTCGGAGGTTGTTCCCACTCGTCTGGCTTATCAGCTTCCGCGCGTGAGATATGAAACGTTCCGTCGCCTGATTAGCGCGCGTGCCTGTCACAATCTCTCTCTTGTCGTCGTCGTTATCAATCGACCGAGCACTTTTGTCGAGGACATGGAATATAGAATATGGAATTTGGGAGCGGGATTGAGCTTATCTCGTAGAGCATGGAGCGCGCGGAGTGGGTATGCTGTACATGAAATGAAATGTAATGGGGCGATGCTCGTTGGGTCTCGTCGACGCCTTCAGCTCCAACGCTCGACTTGCTTCATACCAGCTATACTACTAGCGATACTTGTACTCGTAAACCTTTGGAAACCTCTACCGCTACTGAAAATCGGATCGAAACACAAAATCAAACGTCGTTCAGTATACCACCACACCTGATATCACGACCATGAGCATCTCGACATCATCCAACTCTTCGTCCTCCCCGAACAGTCCGTCGGCACTGGGAGACTCGTTGACCTTACCCAATTCTTTGTCCGGCGAGACCTCCCCGGCTACATCCATCCCTTCTTCTCCAGACCTAGACCTAGATATCAAGCCAGAGTATGACCTAGAGATAGAGGAGAAAGACGATGAAGATACCAATGGCTTCCCAGCCAGCTTCCCAGCCGTACCGAAATCTACCACCTACACTTCCCCCGACGAGAAGGATGCGGGCACGCCGGATGCGTGGTTGAATAGAGATCCGAGGTTGGTCAGGTTGACGGGGAAGGTGAGTTCGAGTCCCACCGAGTGGCCTGCAATAAAACTGCCCCCCCCCCCTGCTAGCCTTTCTATGGGGATGTTGACGATGGCACGTACTGCATGGATTCATCTTGTCTAGCATCCTTTCAATTGTGAACCGAAATTGAACACCTTGTTCGACCAAGTAAGCCCCAAACCCCTCTTTCCTCTTCCCGCAGGTATCCAGCTCATCTCATCTCCCATCCCAATCGTTCGCTCCGTTCACTGTCGTAGGGCTTCCTAACACCCTCCGAGCTATTCTACGTGCGGAACCACGGCGCCGTACCTAAAGTCGACGAGCAGCTCGCGGCGAATTGGAAAGTAGAGGTGACAGGGCAGGTTAAGAACCCTATAGAGTTCTCGTTGAGGGATCTGAAAGAGAGGTTTAAGGTGGTCACTTTGCCGGTGACGCTTGTTTGTGCGGGAAGTGAGTTCTTTGTGGTCGTCTCGCCTCGCCTCGTATTATCTGGAATTTTGTTGGCTGATACTTGTCAAACGTGACTCGCGATGTACTCTACAGACCGCAGGAAAGAACAAAACGTCGTGAGAAAAGGCCTCGGGTTCAACTGGGGTGCCGCCGGAGTATCCACAGCCCTCTTCACCGGGGTGTACCTAGCGGACATACTCGATCTAGTACAACCGATCCCGCATCCGGAGACGGGAGCTAGAGCGGCTCATGTGGTCTTTGAAGGCGCTGATGATCTGCCTCAAGGGAGGTATGGGACGAGTCAGTTGTTGAGCTGGGCGAGGAATAGGGAGAGGGGGATGTTGATCGCCTGGGCGATGAATGGGGAGCCTTTGTCGCCGTAAGTGAGGGTTAGGAGTGGACGGTAGTTGTGGGACAGAGCTGATAGGTTTGTAAGGTGGGTGAATGGTGCGTTTGCAGTGATCATGGGTTCCCGATCCGGCTGGTTTGCCCCGGTCAGATCGGTGGAAGGTAAGCTATCCCTAGTGAACGATAGTCATCATCAAACAGCAAGCTGATCGATCCGATCTCTTGACTTTCAACCTGAAGGATGGTCAAATGGCTCACCAAGATCGAGATCTCGCACCAAGAATCGCAACATTACCTGCATGTGAGCCAAAAAAATTGGGAGACTGCCTGTCTCTGGTCTACGATACTGACAGATCGAGGTTTGGTGAACAGTTCTGGGATAACAAGGTGTTGCCGACCCAGGTTATGCCTGAAGAGGCCCGTGCAGAGAAGAAGTGGTGAGTAGAATACGGCGCTCTCATGCCTAACCCAATCGGATAGTTTCGCTGAAGCAGTAGAGAATGTGTCACGCAGGTGGTACGATCCTCGTTATATCATCAACGAACTGAACACCAATTCGGCCATCGCTCAACCGGACCACGACGAGGTCGTCAACCTGGATACGTTGGGATCCGATTATACCGTCAAGGGTTACGCTTACTCTGGGGGAGGACGTCGAGTCAACCGTATTGAAGTATCGCTAGACGAGGGGACGACCTGGAAGTTGGCAGAGATCTTCTAGTAAGCCTTGAACGCCCAAAGATTCCGATCCTTCAGTTCTTGTTGTACTTGTACTGACAAAGTGTGACTCGCAGCCCGGAGGACCTGTATCGCGCAGTAGCGTATCAGGACGAGACCTATGGCCATCTCGATCTGACCGACCGGGATACGTGCTTCTGCTGGTGTTTCTGGAGCTTCAAGATACCATCGTCGGACCTGAAGACTACGCCGGCGATCATGGTCAGGGCGATGGATGAAGGACTGAGCGGACAGCCGCAAGAGATGTGTGAGTTGGAGATAGCGCGGATCGTCCCGGCTGATTGCTAACATATAGCTGCCCACGCCCCTAGACTGGAATGCGACCTCGATGATGAACAACTGGTGGTTCCGAGTGGCTGTCCATCAGCAGGACGACGGCCGAAGCGTCCGCTTCGAACACCCTACGCTGGCCGGAGTGCACGCAGGAGGATGGATGGAACGTCTAAAAGACGAAGGGCAAGACATTTTGAAACCGGTGTTTGGCAAGAAACCCGACGCTCCCGGTCCGTCGACCATGAAACCGATCGTCAAGAAGGAAGTGTCTATGGTCAAGGAGTCGATCAAGCGGATCATCACGGCAGAAGAGCTGAAGGCGCATACTGATCCCGAGCACCCTTGGTTTGTCGTTCGTGGGGAAGGTAAGCCGGACAGACTGAAGATTGCCTCAATCAGCAAATAGGCTAAAGCTCCAAACCGATAGTCTACGACGGGTCCGGGTTCATGAAGGATCATCCTGGTGGAGGCGAATCGATCTCCCTGGTAGCTGGTCAAGATGCGGTGGGTCTCAATAGGTCGATATCGCTGAGCTTGTTGAGACTGATGCTGAAACGACGCAGACCGAGGACTTCATGTCGATCCATTCGCCACAGGGAAGGGCAATGCTAGCAGAGTAAGCGTGAATATGTGTCTCTGTCGTGTTTTACGTAGCTAATCTCCCTCATCTCCAGCTACCATATCGGTACCTTGGACGCCCGGGGCCTGATCGAGGCCGTCTCTGCGCCACAGGAGACACAAATCGAACCCATCTTCTTGAACAAGACCAAGTGGAAAAAGGCGCCGCTCGTCTCGGTGAAAACCGTCTCGCACGACTCGAGGGTTTATCGATTCGCGCTTCAAGACAAAGACCAGACCTTGGGTTTGGTGAGTAGAGCTTGTTTTGTAGGCGACCTATCAGTGCTGATGGGGCATGTACCTGATCCTCAGCCCACTGGACAACATGTATTCGTCAGACTGAGACGAAAAGCTCCTCGCGAGAGCATCTCGGAGGAGGACAGAGAGAACGCCGAGTTCGAGGAGACTCGTGTAGTCGAGGGCGAGATGGTACAGCGAGCCTATACGCCGGTATCGTCCGCAAGCGCAACGGGACACATCGACCTCCTCATCAAGCTCTATCTCGCCAACGAGACATGGCGAAACGGTGGCAAGATGACGACCGGTTTCAACGAGCTGGAACTCGGAGACGAGATCGAGTTCAAGGGTCCGTTGGGATCATTTACCTACCTCGAACGTGGAGTCTGTCGATGGCGCGGGGTCGAGCGCAAGGTGAACACGTTTGGGATGATCTGTGCCGGTTCGGGAATCACGCCGATTCTTCAGGTTGTACGCGAGATAGTCGATGGCGATGCTCGATCGGGAAACAGCCACCAAGACCTGCCGAAAGTCTGGTGTGTCGATAGTAACCGGAAAGAAGAGGATATACGTGAGAGCAGATACTGTTACTGGATCGTTTCAAGGCCTGTCGCTCATGATGCTTTTTTTCGGTTGCAGTCTGTCGCCAAGAACTGGACGGCCTTGTAGAACGGTCACAAGGACGATTCCAACTCCATCACGCCCTGTCTGCGCCTCCTTTCGACTGGCCAGAGACATATACGAAGGGTCGAATGACCGAGAACACGCTGCGCCAGTACCTACCGCCACCTTCCGACGACGCGCTTCTGATGGTCTGTGGTCCGGACGGACTTATCAATGAGATAGTCAAACCTGGGTTGGTGAGTTGCACGAACAAAGCGAGTTCAAGTAGATTGGACGTCAACTGACCACGAGTATTCGCGTCGACAGACTGCTATTGGGTGGAATATCGAGACGCAATTGGTTGTATTTTAAATTTGTATCGAGTAAAAGAGCTTCAGTGGCAAATTTGTGTTTATCAAACTACGCTAAGAACCGACGTATCGAAATCGAATCGCACTCTTGTCTCGGATCATTGCGGTTCCGATCGCAATGCGCTCCACCGAGATACGCCAACATGAATGCTCTCGCTTCTAAAGACGTGGCGTCCAGCTGCTGTACAGGCGTTTGCACATCGCTATAGGGCACGCTGTCACTCCGCGATGGATCGCTTATAATCAGAAGAGCTATGGGCGTTTTCATCCAAGGAAGATGCAGGATTGAATCACAGGGGTATCGAGGACCGACAAACAATGGCGCTCCCCTTCTCTTCCTTGATGTCTAGCAACGGCGCGAACCGTATCTTTCGGTGGCGTATTGCAAGACAGGATATCCCGGCTCACGAGCCGTCTCACAGGAGTTGACCATTCCATCGCGACCGGCCCGTCATCTTACCTGAGCGCTCGGTCGCCGAATCTCAGACATCTCCATCGAAAGTGAGCTAGTGAGAGCTGTGCCTGCCCTGTGATTTTGATGCGAGAGGCTAGCACGCGTCTGACAACGGTTGCTACGAAAGAATCAAAGTGGGCGCCCCTGGCCATTACCCACAGCTTTCTGTCGGTTCGAAACATGTTCGTCCAGTACAGCACAGTTCTTCGAGAGTTAGTACCTAACATCAACTACCGTAGTATTCGAATCACATGGAACCGCTATCGCTCAACCGAGGTTCAACGCAACGATCGAATGAAGGCAGCCGCATGACCGTGCGCGGACCAGCAGAGTGTGGTTTGACGGCCAACGGGGACGCTTCATCATACAATCAATGATGATGCTTCTGAGTCCCGGCGAGTAATTTTAGGTACGGACCAAGATTCGCAAAACTATCAAGATTGTTACATCGAGACACCCCATGGATTTGGTATCGCTGCTGCACATAGGCATCACGTTCTGGTAGTTCAAGCAGAGGATGCGACTTTGGCAAACCTATGTAAAGTGCTGTACATGTCCCGGTCAATTCGACCCATTTCGGTGTGACACGATCCTTGTTTGATGATCGTCTTGTGCCACCAAATATTGGATCAGGGGCTCTAGACGGGCAGACAAGGTCAGACGCAATGATCCTGACTTGAACCCTAGACGGTGGGTCATGAGACGGCACGATCCAGCTTTTCCCGCTCGTCCGCAGCGTAACGCAAGATGGCCCGATGCGCTCGCATCATCTCGACATCCCTACCGGACACTTTTAAGTCATCATCGTCCTCGTCAACAGCTCCTTTGACTTCAAAGTCAAAATCCACCTTTGCTCCGGTCACGTTCAGGTGGACTCTCGTCTGGTCCGTCGTGTTCGTCTTGATGAATCTGATCAACGTATCCGCTTGTAAACACGTCCGGACACCCGAGATCGGCAAGTCGACGGTGAGGTCTTCGAGGTAGACCCTGTCCAGGTCTAGATTGTATTCGTTGTAAAGGTCTTCCCATTCCGAGACGTTCCAACATCTCAAGACGGACGGCGGAGAGAATCTCTCTCCATCGACCTCCCGTAGGGAAAGTAGGGAGACCCGTTTACACCGCCGAAGAAAGGGTAACCATTCGATCTTTGCGTTTCCCCTCAACGTGACGTCGATCAAGCCCCATCTCCCAGTGAGATCCTGTAACAGCCCGTAATCTTCCGCTTCACGCGAGTCACTTGACAATGAGACCTCAATCTGTTCAAGCATGGGGCATTGGCGGAGGATCATTTGGAGCGTCTCTGCGCAGATATCTTGGTCCTCGATGTAGAGGTTACGTAGACGATTTAAACGCGTGTCCATTTTCCAGTGTCGGAGAGATTGAATCACTGGGTCGACCCAGAGATCGTCGTCCGTGTCTTCCTCTTCGATCGCACTACGCTCTGACGGCCAGATGGTGATCGTATCCAAGACTACCTGCTTGGACCAGCGTTGGAAAGCAGACGAAGGATTGTCTTTTAATTGCATCGCTTGCGGGTCCCAAAGCGTTTCCCAATCCCAACGCCGTATCTGCCCCTTCGCCCTGCTCGTGACCTCGATGCGACGCGGGCCCACCTGGTAAATCTCCTTCCTCTCCACATGTACACGGACGGACGGCTTGAGGTTCAACTTTGGGTCCAACAGGTCGGACGGACAACATTCGATGGAGATCCATCGGAGGTTTGGCATGTATCGAATGCCCTTGAGGTGGAACACGTGAGGTGTCTTGTAGGGATACGATCGGATCAGGAAGAGTACGATATCGGCGTCGGCTGACTGCTTCTCCCCTTCGACTAAGAGTTGACCGTCGACTAGTCGAATCGAATGTTCCTGTACCACCAGAGCATGTACCGATTCCAAGTATTGTGCGTACCGATCACATCTGCTCGCTTCGATGACCTGCGAAAAGGTCACCTTTCGTCTCAAGTACCGCAAGGCCGATTGGTAAGCCTCTTTGGAGGTCAGCGCAAAGGAAAACACATCAGCCTGCTCATGCTGATGATGAATACATTCGATGATCCCTGATCGAAGGAGGGCGTTGTGGTAGACGTTGCTCGCTGACGAGGTGTTGCCCTTGATAATGTGCATGTCAACGTCCGTCATGATCGCTGAGCTTTCGCCGCCGAGATATGATGACACGATCGTAAGTTCTTCCTACCCGAGCTCGAGTGTGATACATCTAGCTTCAGTATGTGGTATGATGTTAATGCTAGGATCTCTATGGGGGTCGAATCATCATCTTCTTTCTCGATATCGACATCCTCGTCTTCGGACATGGCCGAGCTCCATGTGGACCGATATGGTCAGGACGATGGACCTTGACCATACCCAGCTATGTGACCAAGTCAAGACCGAAGCAACGTTGCAAGCTCTGCGCTCTAGCATCCTTCCCATCACATATCAGATCGGTCTGAATAACATGAGCAACCTGAAGAAGGTCCAAACCTCGCCATGACCACCCCTACAGCGCCTTTCACGTTCGACGAGACGACCGTAACACTCGCCAACCCGGCTCAACGGAGACGCACCCGAGAACATACCTTTGCCGAATGGGGAGCTGGCAAGGGGTTTGACCTGGATTCGTATTGTCGGAGAGATGAAGTCATGGCGGAAGAGACGGGCGGGTACGATACGTGGTGAGTCGCGAAGCCAGATGCGAAGCTGGGAGCTCGGAGAGTTAGGGACTGATCATGCTCATACCAAATGGCTGTGCTAATGTACTTGGCAAATGCCGTTCTTACTACTATAGGGTCCTCGTCCCCCGTAAATCGCTGGATACCGTAGACGAGATCTTGGCTTCGTGCGAGACGTGAGTCAAAACATACACATATATGTCCTTGCAGCCTTATTCATGTTCATATTACTGAAACCAACCCGTTCTCATGAATTCGAATCCCGTTAGATACCGCCGCCGAAGCATCGTCCGCCAACTCCGGAGAAAGACAACTTCACACGATCGGGATTCCAACCATCAGGAGGATATCGGACTTGATAAGGAGGAGATTGAGGTAACGAACATTGCCATCTCCTGCGTCTACGTCAACCCCCTCTTCTCTGGTTGCCACTACGCTCGACACCTCCTCCAGCTGATGCATTACATCTTGGCGCCCAAGGAAGACTTGCCAGAGTTCCCTAAGGGGGTTTGGGGTGAGGTTCCCGAGGTTCCTAAGGGGTGGAAGGGGGATGCGGGTTTCTCGGTAAGTATCGAGTTCTAGTACCAGTTCTAGCTCTAGTTCTAGTCATAGTGCTAGTTCAGGGAGGTCAATGAGGAGTCGCTGACTTGTCTCTTGTCCTGGGCCCTGTCTCCCTCGCGATCATACCGCGCCGTCACTATACATATGCTGATCGACCTGTCGGACAAATCTCACCATCATCATCATCACATACATTCAAATCGAATCGAAACTCGACTTAACTTAGGTCTTGTACAGCGGGATAGGCGGTGAATACTATTCCAAAGCTCGGCAAGGCCACGGACCAGATTCTCGGCCTGGTTGGGAGTTCGTCCCTTCTTCCCGTGGGAGGGTCTGGAAGATCCCCGCCAACAACAACACCATAGAGCTTGATAAGCACATCGGTAATGCTCGAGAGGATGTTTCTGAAGCAGAAGATGAAGGCAGGTGGATGACTGCGGACGATGTTCGGGCGATAGAACCCCTTGCCGACAAGGAAGTGAGGAGGCAGGTCGATGAGGTGGAGGTAGGGGAAGAGGTTGTCATGGCGGTGTTGCCTTCAGGGTGAGTAACATGACAGTTTCACCACGGTGGATCTTCTCCATACTGTGAGATACATGTGAGGAGTTGAGCTTGACGTTATTGCTGTTTGTTTTTATCGTTGTTATCGCAGAGACACGCTCTACCAGCATTGTGTTCGCGATCAACTCTCACCGACTGGGATGACGCTCGGTCGACCACGTACGTACGGCTACATCGAACCACGCTCGGTCGACTCTTCCTCCCCCGTTTGCGCCGAGAACAACGACTCGGACCTCCCATTCTTCACCTACCGCTTCCGAACCGGTCTCCAAGACCCCCAACGACTCTGCATAACCTTCGTCCGACACCCCGTCCCTTGGACTTCAGTCCTCCGTGCGGCGCTCAAAGAAGGCTGTGGATCTGTAGAGATCTGGGGCGAGGCCGGGGACGTCTGGGTGAAAGAAGGCGCAGGGGAGCCAGAGGTAGAGGATCCGACGGTTTGTCTGGTCAATTATCGGTGGTCGGATTTGGGGGTGCGGTGGGTCGTCAACGAGAGGTACGTGCTATTGCGCTGGGAGCAAAAAAAAAATATTCTCGGTACAGGGAGACGGAGGAGACTGAATGCAAGTTGTTTCTATAGATACGGTTGGTGTTGACATGAACCTGGACGACGAGGTTGGGAACCTGTATTCGCGCGGATCTGCTTTGAAGCCTGAAAACATCCCCATTGATACGTTCCGAGAAGATAAGGCAGGGTGGATTGTTAGCGATATTGCCTCGATCTGGGTTGTTATTAGCATGAGCATTGTATCAGGAATTAATGTAACCAGGACTAGACGTCGGATTTGAAGCCACACCGTATACGGTCCTTCTCGCATTGCCAAGAGCCTTCGCATCTATCCGGACTCCCGTGGGCTAGGCAGATCTCATGTCCGTTACGAATGCTGACCGAGTTCGGCGGAGGACAATGAGGACTTTCGGACCTTCTGTCAAAGACAGACGTCTAGCTTTTGACTTGCGCAAGGCTGTTGCTGATCAAGATGACGAGGCGACGTCCAACGATGGGATTGGGATGACTGATCTGATTGAAACGGGATCAGCTGATGGTGTCGACGTCGACATCGCGTGTCAGCACCCGGGTCAACTGTTCGTCCGCGCTTGGCAGGCTCATATAAGCTGGAGGGGCGCGCGAGAGGCGATGGGACTGGTTCAGATTGAAACGACGACCGACAAGACCTCGTAGACATCGAATTACAATCCGCATAGCCACTTGCAGACACAGCCATTAGTCTCATTACTACAACAATGTCCCCTTCCATTCTTGTCGTCGGTGCGACCGGGAACACCGGTGGCGGTGTCGTCGACACCGTCCTCGAGCTCGCGCCCAACACCCCGTTCGCAAACCACACCGTCATCGCGCTCACTCGGAACGCTCAGGGATCCTCGGCCAAGGCGTTGGCTTCCAAGTACGGTGGTCGTCTTGAGATCATCGAGAAGGACTGGACCATGATCGACGCCGCCTGGCTCAAGGAAAACGACGTCGAGCGTCTCTTCATCGCTTCCCACAACGGCGTCAGCCAGTTCGTCGACGAATCCTTGTTCTTGACCGCCGCCCTGGAAGCAAAGTGCGTCAAGTACGTCTGTCGTATCTCGACCACGCACGCCAACGTCGGTCCGGACACTCCCGTTTGGTACGCCCGGACTCATTGGGCGATAGAAACCTTGCTCGAGACTCCTCAATTCGGGTCGATGCACTGGTCGTCCCTCCAGCCGAACGGGTTCATCTCGCTCGTCGGCCAGGCGCTCGAATCCTGGCTCAAGACCTACCGCGAGTCGGGAAAGAAGGAGACCCTCCGTCTGATCATCGATGGGGACAACCCGGTCGCTCTCATCGACCCTTACGAAGTCGGGGTGGTGGCAGGTCACCTGCTCGTCTCTCCCGACACGGCCAAGCACAACAAACAAAAGTACATCCTCGTCGGTCCTACCAACGTCTCTGGCAAAGAAGCCGTCTCCTTGTTGGAGAAATACGCCGGGACGAGTGTCGACGACGTCGTCTACCGAGACACCTCCTTTGTCGACTACCTCATCTCGACCGGAAACTACCCCGAGAGCATCGCCGCTTCTCTCCGGCTGGCTCCTCGATCCGGTTACGACGGTGGGGATTCCGTAGAGAGGTCGCCTACGAGTCCCGAAGTGCTCGAACTGTACAAGCTCAAGAATGGAGCTTTGGAGACGTACGACAAGGGGCTGGCTGCTATCGCCAAGTAAAAGCGTCCCCCCCTCTTCCTCTCCGATCTTTCCTACTCGATACGGTGTGACTACCAACATTGGGATAGGAATCGAAAGAAGGGATGATATCAAGCTATCCAAAAGGGTACAGATGTAATAATTATACACGACGCGGATTACATGGTCTGACTTGTCGCTATCGAGCGATTCGACCGAGCCGGTCTGAAAGTCGTGTTGCGACCATGAGCTCTGGCTACATGGCAAAATCCGGTTGACAGATCGCTTGGGAAACCCCGAATGACGATGTGCTCATAAAAGGTGTAAGCGCACATGATGCACTATGGCGATGTTTCCCTCGCAAGGCGGACGATGATGCGTGGATCACAGCAGGCGTGGAGCGGCGCTCTTCCGTCCCCTGCGAAGTCGAGTTGACCTAACGAATTCTCAAGCTATACCCCATAACCCAACAACCACGAGTGCGAAAGGCGATCAAGGAAGGGAGTCAGCAATCGCGGTCGAGATATTATCTGGAACCGTGACGCACACCATTGGCCTGTCCCTAAATCAATACTGACCGCGAAGGTCGTAGAGATGAACCAGCGAATGAACGCCGTCGATGCTCGTACTCCGGCCAGTCGGACGGCTTGTAGGCCTCGGAGCTACCGACCTCGTGCGGGGAGAACTTTTTGCAGTCCGAACCGTGAGTCTGGCCGACCGTGCGTCTCTGTTGATCTGGTAGGCCGTGATAAGTGAAGTCTGGCGATGATCAGGTACTCAGTCCGGGACGTTTCGCAGGGTCGGACGGGGATCGCGTTGAGTGATGTATCGCCGAGGTGGATGATCATCGACATCTCTCAGGTTGTCGGAACTTGCATGCCGGGACGCAGCTTCCATAAACCGATTGAGGTTTAATCATCCGAGATGTAGCGTTTCAACTCTCGCTCCTACTCAGACTCGTGGACCTCCGGGCTGGGCTAAAGCGGCGTAGTTTGGTATGGTATTGTACAATACAATTCGCGTCTGATGTTTCCTTCCTGGCGAGTGGATCCTGGCATCCGTACAGCTCCGATAAACGAACGCCAGCAGAACGAACCCCTGCAGAACGTAAACAGCAGGACCCCGATCACCATGCTCGGTACTGGTAGATCCCCCGGACATGCTCATCACTAGACGTATAGCGGTCGATTCGGAGGGATGTTCTAGCCCGGGTGATGCATCCGACCCTATTCGTCGTTGTTGAGGCCGAGATCGATTTAATGAAAAGCTCCCTGACGCCAAGCCGTAGGCACGACGACGATGCTGGTAATCTTGATGGTAACGATGACGATCGTTTATGATGACGACGACGATGATGATGATGATGGCGATGGTGATAGCGATCTCAATAGTGATAACGGTGTCGATGTCGATATCGATACCGGACCCCCACGATGTACAAAATCCCGCTCCCGACCGTTCTTCTATCGTCTGGCCTTTTCGAGCGCAACGACCGACCAGCAACCCGACGGCCGTGCTCTAACTTCGGATCGTCTAGGTGCAATCCCGTAGAGTCACGGACGTCTTCGTTCTCGACGAGCTCGACCCCCAGATTCAATTCTGTTTGATTATCGTCCCCAAGGCCGACGCTCTGAGCGTTGATCAAGGTCAAAGCCGACGCTCAGAGCGCTGATCAAGGTCAAGACCAAAGTTAAAATCGAGGTCTACGTGCAGTGACGTTCGTACGTCCCAGACGAACCCGGAGACCATTATTATTAAGCGTGATCATGGTTGATCTCGATGTCGTTTGACCGGCACAGAGTCAGGGTTAGGATGCCCTTGTCGTATCGTAATCTCCCGGGGTTGTTATGGAGTAGCGACCTCGACGACATCTACTCGACCTTGACCGGGGACTTGAAGTAATCTCGGATGGTCTTCTTCTTCTTGTTCTTCGGTCTTGATTCGGGCGTGGAGTTGGCTTTGGCTGGTAGGTCTCGCAGTTCCGCCGGGTCGATGATGAGGCCTGGAGACGAGATGTGGTTTGGGGAAGAGATGATGGTAGTGGGAGATGCCGAATGGCTTTGAGAACCAGCATGTACGGCGTGACCAAGTGACTCGTTGGCTTCGCCCTTGCTTTCGCTTCCACTCCTGCTCTTCGACCTCATCTGCAAACTCTCCCGGTTAAGCCTCTCCAGATCGATCGTCCCACCCAAGATCCCCTCCCCGACCTGGACCGCCTTTCCCAATTGCGCGATGTTCATGTGCTCAATAGCCGGCGGTTGAAGGACCTCCCTCCAAGGTCTCTGGCAGATGTGATCGAGGATGATCCGGCCGAAACAGTGGTTCAGGTGCACAGGCCAACGTGGTTGAGCGGAGGACTTGGTTTTGGCGGCGAGGGGGAGGTCTTGGTCGATGAGCTGTTTGTAGCGGGTGAGGAGGGTCGAACGGTGGGGGGTTCTTTCGGGAGGCATGATCGAAGAGGTCTTGTGGTGTGCTTGTAGATAGGTAGATGAAACGTCCATACGATTCTGATTAGATCGATTAGAGTATGATGTATAGGTTGCCGATACCGGAGGTCGATAGGAAGATCCTCGTCTGCCGCTCCTCGAGAAGGTCGCGCTCTAAGGAAACTTGACCTGGATCGAATACGCTGCACGAGGTCGATACCGACTTTCCTAGCTTTACTACTATCCTCAGCTACTCAGGTCTTACATCTCGCATCTCGCTATAGCAAACAGAGGCACCTCTAGAGACTCTGACCTAGATCCCTTAGCGATGATACTAGCCCATTCGGAAGCTGCCCGACAAAGAAGAAACGCGGTCTTGACGAAACCCCTGGATGGACTTCTCGATGTGTATTCTTCGGGATGATCATCGATGGCAGGGGCCACGACGATGACGAGGAGGCTCTACTATAGCTAGTATAGTTTAGAAGAAGCAACCGAGTCAACCAGCAAAGTAGGCTAGACGGACTTTGCGGCGATGACGGACTTGCCGCCTGTGCGATCGTCAACACCTCGAAAAGGAAACCCGACCTCGAACCACCGACTTTTAACTCGTCTACGTCAACCAGCAATCGAAGCTAGTTTGCAATACAAAATGACGCTAGGGACTCCCTCAACTCTTGAACTAGTAGGAAAGACGTATACACCTCGGTCTGGAACCACGGGCGGGGAAAGAGTGGCGAGGGGGAAGGGGGAAGAGAGGGGGTCGCGCAAGGGTGATTCGACTCGTCGTTGAACGATCTGGACTGGGTGAAACGACGAGGACGACCGGGGATGGACGGGAACAGACTAAAAGCAAGCTAAGGATCTCGGGGATGGTAGTGATGACTGTCAATGAGAGGCTTGAAACGTAGGTCCACCACGACGTCATAAGTCGAGAAGAAGGTGAAGGTGCAGGTCGAAGTAGAGGGAGAGTCAGCTGATCTTGGGTTAATCTTCTTCTTCGAACAGAGCCTAGAAGCTAGAGGACTATATAAGGATGAGGTATCCGGAAGATCAGAAGGTGTTCGACCGTTTCTCCTCTATTCTTCTGGTATCACTTTCGACAACTCCCACCTCGAATCGCACGTACATCCGGACCCAGCCCCGTCAACCTCGACCTTCACCCCTTCGAATAATAAGAACAACACCGACAAAGCAACATGTCCTGCCCTCCTTGCAACCAACCCTCAGCCCGGATCACCGACGCCCTCAATCTCAGGTTCGATGTCGCTCTCGATCGCGCTCGAGACCTCAAGCAGGTCGTCATCACCAAGCTCGCCAAGCTCACCCCCCGGCACTGGGTCTGGTTCGTCGTAGGAGCGCTCTTGCTCGGCTGTACCATCGAGGTTGTTGAACGTTATGTGAGTCGTCGGCGTGGCCTTTCTGATCTGAGCCGGTCCAGTCCAGTCCGGTCCGGGCTGTTCGACGTGTCTTATTTCGTTGTCATCGCATCTTGGCTATGACGAACCGGGACTGACTACTCGATCTGTTCTTGATTCTTCCCGTAGTTCCCTCAACTAGCCCCCAAGGCCAACTCGCCCACCAAGCCCGAACCCGCCAACGAGGACGAACCCACCGCGCCGGTCCAGTTCGGACCTACCCGTCTGCCTATGTTCGGAGAGGACGATTGGTTCATCTATACGGAGATCAGGATCGAGGCTTGGTTGATGCGCACCTTGAAAGCCGGTCGGGCGCCTCTTGTTGGACAGGACGAGTTTGGTGATTGTCACGGGGATGACCAGCGATGTGATCAGTGTGAAGGGCTCGACAAGGCCGACTACCCCGGTCTTGAAGTCGAGGTCGAGGTCGAGGGCGATCGGCTCGCGGAAAGTGTTGTCGCTCCGAGTGATGCTGTTACCACCAGTCCGGTCGTCTCGGAGCTCGACGTCTTACCCTCTATCAGTTCCGACGTCGACCAGGTCAAGACGGTTCAACCTGCCTTTGCCTCAAGCGAGTCGCTCGTGGAGGATCCGACGCGCAAGAAGGACGAGATCGAGGATCGACCGAGGTACCCGGTTCGCGATAGGGACCTCAATAAGATCTTGGCGACGGTGCCGAGGAAGCGGGTCTCGGTCGATCTCGAACTGGACAGCGATGACGAGGCACGGGAGGCGAGTGAAGAGAGAACGAGGTATCGGGAACAATTGAAGAGAAGGGCCAAGCACCTGAACACGGTCATCGAAGCTTGGAGAAAGGGTGTGCCGATGGACGTCGATGAACTGGACGCGCCTGCACCCATACCTCGCCCCGCCGCACCGACTCCCCGTGCCGCCGCCGCCCGGATCGACGTAGCGACCGAGAAGAGACGGCTTCAAAGGCTGTCGATCCACTTGATGCCCGATACTCTTGAGGGCTGGACCGCGCTTGTCGGATCGGGATCGGAGAGGATAGCTCCCGATGTCGTGCTTTCGAGATCGAGGAGACCGTCAGCTGCTCTTGTTGGTTCAGGATCGAGGAGGCAACCGTCCGCCGTCAAACTGCCCCCTCCCGTCGACGTCGACGTTGAAAAGGCCGTGGCACAGGCCATGTTCGAATTCAAGACCACGGAGCCGATCATGATGACCTGGGCTTGGAACGACACAGTCCCGTTGATCGCACACCGTCGTCATGTATCGGCACCTACTATGCCTCTCCCCGAACGCCCCGAAGACCGTCGTGTTTCGTTCAAATCGTTGCTCGACTGGACTCCGAAGAAGCGCGTCGACGAGGACGAGAACAAGAAACAGGACGCGGACCAGGACGCGGACGAGGACGGGGACGAGGACCTACTCATCCCGGCTCTCACCCAGGGGTCGTGCAGTCCGACCGGCACCGACTTGAGCACGCCGAGTACGCCGAGCACGCCCATCCGGGTCTGTGCCCAAGCCACGGCGATGATCGAGGTGTCGAGAAAGTTGGCCGAGTTTCAGAAGATGCGAACGATTTGATCGATTCATAATCTCATGCCCTGTACCTCAGTCGATGCGATTTTCATAATGTCATGATGTCGAACCGTCTAGTCGGTAACTGCACAGGCTTGATACATATCGGATTCGAGTACGCTTGCTCATCAGCGAACGAGGCAGACTGACCTTGCGTCTCGGGCGCAGACCCCGTGTTGACCCGGTGTAGATGCGATGTCGAGCGGGTAGCTCCGGGCTTTGGAGGACGGGCACGGTTTGTGAACGCAAAGAAACTTCGGAAGACGTCCAGGTTGGATAAGCCGTTACTAGATAAAGCCTTTCAAGGCAAACCTGTGCTTCGATTCAGACAGAAAAGTGAATCAAGTTGTTCTTCGGGAAGTGTGAGGCGATGTCGGTATTCTTCGTCAACCGCAGAGTACGCGATAGTCCCTCGGAAACGCTATCGGCAAAGTGGCCAGTCCAAGGGTCGTCGTCGTCGAATCGGCGTTCGGGGCATTCGGTAGTCCTTCCGTCGCCCGCAATCGTACTGTCAGCCGTGGGGTTGATGATTACCTGAGCTAAGGTAAAGGGATTGAGCCGAACACGAGAGCATCAGCTCGACACGACACCGTTCAAACGCAGAGCCGACGGTCGGAAGGGGGGAAACCGAGAAGAAGAGACCCGGGAACTCACAATCCTGCCAGATTCGCTGGAGAGACCGACAACTACGGATCATCATGTAGCAGAGCAATCTTCGAGTTCCCGTCCAGGCCAACTCGTTCGGCCCCGTCTACGACTGGTCCGACGTGATGCTTGTCGTACGGAACATCTTGTATGTCGGTCGATGGTTCAAGACCTGAGTTGATGGTGTTGTTAAAGGGAAGCGGCCAGTTCTGCATGATCACGAGTAGTGGGGTCCGTGTATAGGTCGATGGCAGTCATTGCTGTGTTCTTCTTGCTGCTTCGGGAAGACGTGTGGTTTGCGGAAAGAGTCCCGTAGAGAGTTCCGATACTGATCAAGAATTTACGTTCGTTAGCGGGGCGTGTGTGAATCACGTCAAGGCGTTTCGATGTATAGTCCTTGAGGTCGCAGACTCACAGGAAAACATACTCTCTCTGCTCCGCTTGACCGCCAGTCTTGTTGGGTTGACACCAAGAGTTTGAAGTCCGATGGCGACAATACTGGCGATGAACGACGAGCCTAGCCCCGGTGAGGATCGAATGATCCTTTAGATTTGGCTACGATGCTTCGGGCGGGGTCCTGAGCCATTGCTGACTCTAGACAATCTCTCGTTGAAAGCCGACGTAGCGAGACGTCGTCTAGATCAAGGAAAGGCATGGGAGAGGAAACACAGGCTTCTGACTCGCTTGATCGGTTCACATTCAAGCTGCGGCGATACGAAAGACGGACGCTCACCTGAAAGTACCTGTCCTACAGGGATGATCAAGGGAAGTCGTCAAGTCTGTCGATGACCATGACTCCGTTGGGCGAGGAAGAGGTGATCATGTGGGGAGCGAGAGCAGGCCGAGCCGTTGATACACTGAAGGATTGCAATGTAAAGTGTCAACGGTGTGCTAAGAAGAAGTGAACGAGGGTTGCGGTACAAGATGCGCAGCGGCGCAAGTCAGATGTTTTTGCCCAGGGCCTGTGAGCTGCTGACTTAGGTGCAATTTCTAGTGATGCGTCAGTGATGCAAGTGATGATCATAGTGATGCAGCCGTGTTTCCGCCACAACCTGATGGTGGGATGGCGATTTCAGTGTTGCACAATGATGTACCAACCTAGGACAGTGTTCAGACCAAGTTGCAAGCTTGTCGCGACAAGGGAAGCACTTGGAGATATGTGGGGTCGCCGAAAAGGGTGGGTTTCGACCTGCGAGGGGGTTAGTGAAGTTTGCGAGAGAACGAACGGGTCCTGAGCAGGTGGCAACATGTCAAGCTGGTGTCTGACCTTGGGGTCACGTCTGACACTGAATCTTTGCGGCCGAAGCGCTCCCCCTAAGGTGCAATTTCTAGTGATGCGTCAGTGATGCAAGTGATGATCATAGTGATGCAGCCGTGTTTCCGCCACAACCTGATGGTGGGATGGCGATTTCAGTGTTGCACAATGATGTACCAACCTAGGACAGTGTTCAGACCAAGTTGCAAGCTTGTCGCGACAAGGGAAGCACTTGGAGATATGTGGGGTCGCCGAAAAGGGTGGGTTTCGACCTGCGAGGGGGTTAGTGAAGTTTGCGAGAGAACGAACGGGTCCTGAGCAGGTGGCAACATGTCAAGCTGGTGTCTGACCTTGGGGTCACGTCTGACACTGAATCTTTGCGGCCGAAGCGCTCCCCCTAAGGTGCAATTTCTAGTGATGCGTCAGTGATGCAAGTGATGATCATAGTGATGCAGCCGTGTTTCCGCCACAACCTGATGGTGGGATGGCGATTTCAGTGTTGCACAATGATGTACCAACCTAGGACAGTGTTCAGACCAAGTTGCAAGCTTGTCGCGACAAGGGAAGCACTTGGAGATATGTGGGGTCGCCGAAAAGGGTGGGTTTCGACCTGCGAGGGGGTTAGTGAAGTTTGCGAGAGAACGAACGGGTCCTGAGCAGGTGGCAA